CCTGTTAGACACTATCTAAGGTTAGGCCACTGTAAAATCTGCTTGTAAGACACTATCTAAGGTTAGGCAACTGTAAAATCTGTCTGGTAGACACTATCTAAGGTTAGGCCACTGTAAAATCTGCCTGGTAGACACTATCTAAGGTTAGGCCACTGTAGAATCTGCTTGTAAGACACTATCTAAGGTTAGGCCACTGTAAAATCTGCCTGGTAGACACTATCTAAGGTTAGGCCATTGTAAGGCCTGCATGGTAGACACTATGTAAGATTAGGTCATTTTACATTTGACTGGTAGACACTTCCTATATAAGTTTAGGCCATTGTAACGTCTGTCTGGTAGACACTACCTATTGAAGGTTAGGCCATTTTACACTTTGGGAGGGAGACACAAACTAAATAAGATTAAGCCATAGTAGACACTACATAATAGTAGGTCATTGTACTATAAACGTACTATAGTAGGTCAGTATACAGATTGTTTCATACACACAGGAAGTTGTTGATTTCGAGTCCTGATTGCCATCTCCTTTTGTTGACCTCTGTTGACCTTTGGGCACCAGCATCCTACTCGAGGTTGCTATCTCCCATAATAACAATCCCACTGCCCATATGTGCAGCCCCCATCACCAAACCAGACACCTCAATTTATCTAGGTCATTTCATCTGAGCAAAAATTGGCCAGATATTCTCAACATATAGTTCCTCTTCTCATAGTTTAGCTGATTGACTGCAATTGACCATTGCCTATGTTTCCAATGCGTGGTCCTGCTTTGAAATTTCAATGATTTTTACATGGTTTCATCAATAAACACTGATATTGCCTTTTCCATATATTAACAAATGTGTTCAAAAAAACATTAATGAAATCTTTTGTTAAACCAAGAAACATCCGTAAAGATTTTTTTTTTTCTGTATTTTTAAAATGCAGACTTTTCCCTCATGGATCTCCTGATATGAATTGGTAAATTCACAGACACTGTTTGATCACATAGAAACATTGGGCTTAATCTTCACAAGATGCTGTTTCCTAGCTGTGTCTAAACTGAGGGGAAAACATTGTTTATAAACATCAAAAAACATTGGTAATGTTACCTGATCAAACTTAAATGTTGTTTATTTGAAAAAATTCTAATGGTGTATAAAAAGATACATGGAGATATTACTAGGCTATCACGTTTCAACATTAAAACGATATGCTAGCTATGTCTATGTCTGAAATGAAAATCTCATCCCCATTTATAAGCAACATTCCTGCCAAAAAGGTTCTCACATTGTTTTGGACTCTGTGGCCCAAACTATATCAGAATTTTGACCCACACCTTTATGAAAAGTAGCTGATGTGTACCCCATCTTACATGAAAGTGTGAAAACCTCCTTTCAGTATTACTAAAACGGTAGATCACCTATGTCATAAGAAATGGTGGTCAACTCTAGATGTCTTCCACAAGAAATGGTGTTATACTCCGTCCTCTATTAGAAATAGTGGAGTTGCCCCCTTCTTCCATGTTAGAAGGTGATTTAAAGTTCTCCTCCATAGGTTTGTAGACCTCCATTGCTATCAGATATAGTGTTAAATATCCCATCACTATTAAAAAAATGTGTTGTAGACCCCCATCAATATTAGAAATAGTGTTGTAGACTAGATAGCTATTAAAAATTGTATGTTGTAGACACTTATCACTATTGAAAATAGTGTTGTGGACCCCTTCCCTTTAAGAAAATTATGTTGTTGAATCCCATCACTATTAATAAAGTGTTATTGGTGCCAGTGTAAGCAGGCCACTTTACCCATAGTCATGTGCCCTGTAGATTGATTTTAATGAAACTTGATTAAATGTTTATCAAAGCTTATAATTTGATACACAGGTGTTTCCAGAACTGTAACCAAAGGGAATAATGGAGAGTTCTGATTGATCAGAATTGAAATGTCTAAAACATCTCTTGTCTAAGTAACCAGGTCACTATACATATGTGTTTATGTAATGGCCCATAGCTCAATTTTATATCAAAGCCTATTATTTGATACATCAGATGTTTCCAAAATTGTTGCTATGGAAACACAATGGAGGCTGCTGATTGGTAATATATACAGTATTGTTCAAATAAGATGAAAGATTGGATTGCAAATGCATTGGTACTTTCTTTCAAAAGGTGCTCTTAGTCACCATGGTAACCAAAAGAACACCTACATTGTATTTTGTGAGGAGGGTTGGGGATGGGGGAGGGGAGAGAGAGTGATATTTACTAGTTATTCTTATTTTGTGCTCATGACCCCTTTCTCTTTAATTCATCAAAATTAGGACATCATTGTTTACTCCTTTTTAAATGTTTACCCAGGAACACTTCTGGCATCCTTCAGAAGGATGTGTAGAATGTTTGAAATCTAGAGTTCAAAACAACATGATTACAGATATTCTAGTGTTATTAGCTTACTAGTGTAGAATGTTTGATGCTTTGATGAACTCAACTTTGACTCATCTTTTGCACTAGCCGACTTTGGGGGTGAGGCTTTACAGAAATAGATACAGAGCTGGAAGCTTATTTCTTACACATGTGACCTTGTCCTCCCTCTCCCTAGAGTGGAAAGGAGCTGCATGTGGGAAAGCATTGTTGTATTTATAGAACTCTCTTACCCTCTCTAAGATTCCAGTGTGAAAATGACTCATACTTCATCAGCCTTCTTCCATGTTTATGTCTGTTGAGTAGTAGACTGAAGGATGTTGTTAGCATTGGGCGTGGACACTTACTTATATTCCCGTCCCTGCTCTACCTTTCAATGCGTTAATTGTTGTTTTTACCAATCAGTAATTCAAGATTGGATGTTTCTTTAGGGTTTGATGTTAGGATGTGTTAGTCATCTCTAAAAAGCATCTATGTTATATAAATGGAGTTATTGATATTGCGTAGTTCTTCTGAGTATATAAATTGGAAGGAATTATATCCTGAAAGTTAAACATTCGCAATGTAAACTGCATCTTGATAGGTTGTTAAAGGAAATTTCAATTGGTTACAAGCAGTTTCATTATAAAAGTATTTAAGTGATCATACAGCGTTTTCTTTGTGACTTGTAATTGGTGGAGCAGTTCTCTGAATTGATAACACACTTTAAACTAGAAGTCTTTGAACCCTTTCCAGCAATTCATTTGCCAGCATACTTATGTTTTTATCCCTCTTGGGAAAAATGCTTGGCCTCCAAGTGAATTCGCTCCTGTTTTTGCAGTGCTGATGCTATTTTGGTCTGCAGTACATTCCACAGTTCTGAGTGTGTAACATTAAGGTAGTAACTGTTTGTTGATGAACCAGTGCCTGTTGTGGTCTATTGTGTTCTTAATGGAACCCTGTAGTACCATATCTTCAGCATATATACAACCTTTGGTATATACCACAACTGGTACCTTAAGTACCACAGCAACAACATAAATACCACAACTGGTACCTGTAGTACCACATCTTCAGCATAAATACCACTACAGGTACTCTGTAGTACCACATCTTCAGCATAAATACCATAACAGGTACCTGAAGTACCACATCTTCAGCATAAATACCACTACAGGTACTCTGTAGTACCACATCTTCAGCATAAATACCACAATTGGTACCTGTAGTCCCACATCTTCAGCATAAATACCACAACAGGTACTCTGTAGTACCACATCTTCAGCATAAATACCACAACTGGTACCTGTAGTACCACATCTTCAGCATAAATGCCACAAATGGTACCTTAAGTACCACAACATCAGCAAAAATACCACTACTAGTACTCTGTAGTACTGCAGCCTCACTATGAATACCACAACTGGTACTCTGTAGTATCACAGCCTCACTATGAATACCACAACTGGTACTCTGTAGTATCACAGCCTCACTATAGATACCCCAAATAGTACCCATTACCACAATCTCACGATAAATACCATAAATGACACCCAAGCTGAAGTACCAAAAAACCACACACAGTACCCAATAGTAACTCTGTAGTTAAGTTATATGCTCCAGCAGATTTAGTTTACATTTGTGTGCAGTGATGCATACTGTAAACAGTGTTCTGATGAAAGGTATAGGTGTAGGTCTGCCATTACCTATCATGTACTACGCATCAATAAGCCACTTTGTCAAACCTTTTAAACTCAATTTGAATAAATCCTTTAAAATTTTAAAACTTTAAAATACCTTGACAGTAAAATGACACTTGGCCTCTTTGTTGGAAGTAGTTTTCGTTTTACAAATATTACTTTGCTCTTCCAAAAGAAAAATCTAGTATTTGTTGTAAATTTGTAAAGCGAGACATTTAGCCTGGGAAGGACATCCCTGTATAATGAGTGTATCTGACCCAGTGTGGAGTGTTCCAGGCACCTACTTTACCCTACTGTCCTATGCTTTGGTACCATTGTTCAATGTCAAATGGTGTTGTCATATTGACTTTTTCTGAGGACGTTGTGTAGTTCTATTGTTGGATGTTTTAACATTTTATAAATAACTTTTGGTGATATCAAACTTATTTATAAATTATTGGTATCGGAGTTAATGTGCATTTAATCTGAACATACTTTTGCCAAGTTTCATTAAACATCGTTTGATATATGGATGTTGAGTGACTGTGTGTATAAAAGAAGTGGATTATCATCTGGAAAGTAACACAAAAAATGTATTATGAATGTAAACATGGTTTGAAATTTTAAGAAGCATGTGTAGAAGTTTGTAGATTTTACAGAGAGCTAGGAGGACTCAAAGCAATTGTATAATTATGTAAACTTAGTAGATGTGATATGGAAGTGTCCAAGCAGAGGCGATTACTGCACAGGTTCTTCTCTGAGGATCACAGTAGAATAACGGCACAGGTTAGATACACCTCATGCATGTGTAAAAATGCAGTTTAAGAATTGATAGACATATGGTAATTTATATTGGTAGATATGTGTTCTTTTTTACTTTTTAGTCATAATCTAATGTTCAGGTTGAAAGTTATATTGAAATGGCGTAACTTTTTTTTTCCAGAGTTCTTATCGCCACAGAGGGCAGTACAGTTCAACATCAGATGTTGGTGACAAGTATTCGTCCCGACCTAGCTCCTATGCTGACCACTATCAGTCAACACCCTCCCTCGACTCTAATTATAAAAAGGTTTGTCACCAGAAGGCGATAAAAAAACACATTGAAGATTTTACAATTTCATACCCTTCCCCACTTGTTTGTATTGTGGAGGAGCCACATAGAGTTACGTACAAAAATCCATCCAATTCATATTTGAGGGTTGTACTAAGGATTGTACCAGTACTTTTAATATATATCTAAGGCTTGTACTATTTATGTATATCTAAGGCCTGTACTATTTATATATATCTAAGGGTTATACTATATATGTATATTTAAGGGTTGTACTATTTATACATATCTAAGGGTTGTACTATTTATATATATCTAAGGGTTATACTATTTATATATATCTAAGGGTTATACTATTTATATATATCTAAGGGTTATACTATTTATACATATCTAAGGGTTGTACTGTTTATATATATCTAAGGGTTATACTATTTATACATATCTAAGGGTTGTACTATTTATATATATCTAAGGGTTATACTATTTATATATATCTAAGGGTTGTACTGTTTATATATATCTAAGGATTATACTATTTATACATATCTAAGGGTTGTACTATTTATATATATCTAAGGGTTATACTATTTATAGATATCTAAGGGTTATACTATTTATATATATCTAAGGGTTATACTATTTATATATATCTAAGGGTTATACTATTTATATATATCTAAGGGTTGTACTATTTATATATATCTAAGGGTTATACTATTTATATATATCTAAGGGTTGTACTATTTATATATATCTAAGGGTTATACTATTTATATATATCTAAGGGTTGTACTATTTATACATATCTAAGGGTTGTACTATTTATATATATCTAAGGGTTATACTATTTATATATATCTAAGGGTTATACTATTTATATATATCTAAGGGTTGTACTATTTATATATATCTAAGGGTTATACTATTTATACATATCTAAGGGTTGTACTATTTATATATATCTAAGGGTTATACTATTTATACATATCTAAGGGTTGTACTATTTATACATATCTAAGGGTTGTACTATTTATATATATCTAAGGGTTATACTATTTATATATATCTAAGGGTTGTACTATTTATATATATCTAAGGGTTGTACTATTTATATATATCTAAGGGTTGTACTATTTATATATATCTAAGGGTTATACTATTTATATATATCTAAGGGTTGTACTATTTATATATATCTAAGGGTTGTACTATTTATATATATCTAAGGGTTGTACTATTTATATATATCTAAGGGTTATACTATTTATACATATCTAAGGGTTGTACTATTTATATATATCTAAGGGTTGTACTATTTATATATATCTAAGGGTTGTACTATTTATATATATCTAAGGGTTATACTATTTATACATATCTAAGGGTTATACTATTTGTATATATCTAAGGGTTGTACTATTTGTATATATCTAAGGGTTATTTATGTATATGTTAGAGTTATATTATTCATATTCATATATCTATATATACTATTTATATATACATCAGTCAAAAAACATGAGTTTAATTGTTTATATGAAGGCATCTGTCTATCCATCTACTTTTGTTTCTGGGATTTCCTAAAATTCTATAAGGTTAAAGGTTCATATTCTCAAAGTTGAGGTTTCTAACAAATGAACTACTGGGATAAACGGTTAAATATGGAAAATATATAGAGAGAGGTAGAGAAGCTAGTGATGAGATGTTGGCCTATAATAATATTAAGATTCTCAAAGAGGACCAAGGTCATTCATGATATTTCTAGGAAATCTCCATTTGTCAAAACCATCTACATGTATGTAAGGCGATTTATATATTGTGGATTATTTTTTATTTCATGTCTTTTACTATGTAGTTGATTTAGTTTAATTGCTGTATGTTTTGTCAGCAGTTGTGAAGATGTGAATGTGTGATCAGTCTAATCACGTACCTGTCTCTAAGTTCTGTTTAGGATCTGTCATTTGTATGATTTAGTTACAAATATGGAGATTTTGATGTTAAAATAACCTGTATCGATTGTTTCTTTAATGTAAAACCAATTACCCTGGTAGTAAGTTTAATCAAATCATGGTCTTGTTTGATAAGTCTGATTCCATCTAACTGTGATGCTGATACCACCGACATGCACTGCAAATTAGATCAGTCTTATTCTGCATTAAGCTTACGAGGTCAGCTTATTACAGGTTAATAATTTTGAATCAGTTGATAATTTTACTAAACAGGAATATCTGTGAGCGTGTGTATTACCAGGCATGTACTCATTTCCATATAGATACAGTAGATGTTATAAGTGTATAATATATAGCACTATGTAGTGATGTACGTGGATGCCATTTGTTTCATGTTACACCATACTTTAATGATTTTTCTCCACTAGCTATATGAAGACGAAAAATATACGACAGACAGACTACGTAAAGAGCTGGATAGGACAAAGAAGGAGTTACTAGATGCTAAGGCAGAACTTGATCGTCTAGTGAAACGGACGGAGGCAAATAAGGCATCTGATTCAAATGATAAACGAGTATGCATTTCCAATACAATAGGACATAAAAGATCTTACAGTATACATATAAAAGAATTGAGGCTGAAATTGATTATGTTTAATTTAAATTCTTTTATGTAAAAATATATTAAACGCTTTTGTAAGTCATGCTAGATTATGTAGTTCTTCTTACGAAGAGATTGAAATAATATACAAAGTTTAATGTCATTTGTTGCAATTATTTTTCTTCCATAATGGTTCATATGTGAATTTCATTATAAATAAACATAAAACACTTGAAATGAACCCAAAAACGTTCATGTTTGAAACAATATATTTCTTGAAGTATTCAATTGCTTACGAAGGGAAGGCAACTAGGACTTGATTGTAAGATTTGATTTAATAGGCTAAAATTTCAAATTGCAAATCTATGTCAATTTAAATTTTGTATGTTTTGTATTTGCAGGAAAAACGGGCATTAGAACGAAAACTTTCTGAGATGGAAGAAGAATTGAAGGTAAAGAGTTGTAGTGGTATCGTATTGATGTCAATCAATACAGATAAATATGAATCTGTTCAGCCTTACTGACTATTCAAGTTTTTCTAAAGTCACAATAGCAACATATGTTGATATTTTACTTATTCCTGCATACCAATTAATTTTAAGTTTTGGAAAAACTGAAATCATAGTTTAACTGTAAGCCAGATGTTTCTCTATTAATAAAAGCTCGCTTTTCATTTTCTACTAACTCAAATTAAAATACATTCATTGCTAATATCTCGTTATCGTTACAAAGAAAGGTGCTCTGAGTTTCTAATACAAATTGTCATTTTAATCATTGATTTGAAAAAAGCAAAAAATATCAAGTGAATAACAAAAAGAAATACACTTTTACAATGAAATAAACAATCATGGCACCTATCTTTTAACTTCGTATTAGAGTTAGCTCCCTTGATACAGATTCTTCACACTATTTTACATAAAGGTAGCTGATGTATGTTGTATTGACTTCCAGCATAAAGCTATGATTAGAGCTGAAAACATAAAACAATAAGGAGAGATTTATATATTCAAGCACTCCATGTCAAATCTGTTAAAAATTGTATTTGAGGAATTTAGGAACACAATTGATATATTAGTGTATTGTAACAAGTTTTCTATAGTCTTGGTATTCTGCAGCAAGTTCTAAAGATTATGGTCTTGTATTATTGCAATAACAATTTTTTATTGGAAAAAAGGAAATAGAAGAGAAAATCAAATTTATCCTGGTTTATCCTTATTTCAACTGCTCTTGAAGTCCCAAGGATTTCAAAAAAAAAGAAAAAAAAGATGTACCATAATGAATTGAAATGATTAAAAAAGATGGTGGCAAAACTTAAGATTACATTTTAACAGGTAACATCTTAGATTACTAATATCATGCAGTCATGAGTAAAGAAAGATGCTTTGAATGGTTTGATATTGCTGTTTACTTTTTTTTTATTATTAAAAAAGGTTTTAAAGAAAAAGTAAAACAACACGATTGACAAACAGTAATTCAATTTTTTCATAATTATTCAAGGCACCTGTCATATTTAACTTCATAGTAGAGTTAGCTCCCTTGATGCAATTTCCTTGCACTTTTTGTGGCAAGACAATTGATTTGTAACATTATCTTGATTTCCAGCATATGGACAAAATTAGAGCTGAAAACACAAAATTAAAAGAAGAAAATAGAGCACTTACTCGAGTCATATCGAAACTTTCAAAATAGGTAACATTGTCCTTTGCCTAATCTGCATTGAGACAGTTTGGAACACCCTTCTAACTGGACTATGCATGCGTTGTTTGCCTCTTCTCACATCTTCTGACACACCGTTAATGTAGTCACTGTTCCTAGATCAGTAGCAGGGTTCCCACAGTCTCTGCAAATAGCAACAATTTTAAACTGTCAATAAGCAAGGGTATAATTTGTATTTACAAAAATGACAAGTTACATGGACAATTCTGTAGCGAATCATAACACTAAGGTAGTTTTAGAAGTGTATCAATTAGTATCCTAATTTGTTTGTGATGTAAACCTTTCTAAGTCCTTTAGGTAAACTTACTGAAACTCAGGAATGTAAAAATTGACTGAAATCATAGGTTTCATACTGAATTCCTCTAATGATAGGAAGAGATGGCACAGAACTACCACTATCTAGTCATGTAATGTTAGCTTGATATGATGCAGTGGAGAATATTTAATTTTCTGTGGGAGCCCTTGGTATGGAAGTCTTTGAAAGTTTGGGGTTCATTTGAGGAGCATGGCTACCATCTGGATATATAAACTAATAAGTACTGACTCGCAATGTCAATTGTAGCTAGCTGTTTCATTTAGGCAGTAAAATATTCAGTTTATATGTCGCTGCTACAAATAAGGAGATGGTATTAATTGATAGAGTTTTAATCAGTCTTTCTACTCTGTATGACATCAACGTTAGAGTTCACATGCAAATGTAAGACATCAATATTTTGAAAGGTTTCATTTAGAATTTGCATTTATTTCTATTTCTTTGGTAAAGTCCTATGTTGAGCCTCATTTACATCAAAGAATTTCCAAATTATGTGTACCAAGGTATGTTATTTTGTCCTGTGTTAGTTAATATTCTTATCAATTTGTAACTTTTAGGGCAGGATATTGTATCTGGTATTGTTTGTTGTTTTATTCTTGATTTTGGTGAACGTTTCGCTTTTAGACTGGAAGTTACCCTTTTTAAGGTGACAACTTGGTCATCTGTTTTTGTAACCAACCCAATACTATCACTGCCAAATTAATTGTAACAGATCAGGGTGGATTTGGCACATTCAGATTTATATTTTGTGATGCAATAGATATGGTTTTGTCCAGCTTTACTGTGATGATTTGTACAGTAAATAATATCATCATTGTGGTATGGTATTGAAATCATAAGTGAAAAATAAGAACCCACTTTCTCAGTGAATTTTGTTGGGGTCTTTACACTTGACTTTTTAGCAGCAGTTTAAAAATGTTTATAAATTTAATTTCTGAGAGGTATATCAGATTCCAAAATGTTGATGAATCTGATGAGACCCCTAAATAAAACCAAATATGTGACTCAAAATTTTCTCTCGGGATTGAATATTGAACATAACAGGAGAGTTGTAGGAGACTGTCCAGTATAGTGATATTATGATAAAGGGAGATCATTATCTCACACCTGAATGTTTTAAAATTATGTATAACTCATTGTTTTCCCCAGTGCCATATTTTGGTTCCCTATTGTTGTTTTGCAATCATTGCTTTTGTATGGCAGGATATCAGACCTGAAAGTGAACACTTGACTCCAAACATAATAAGCTGTTATGTCGATTGAGCTTTGAACTCTGTTGCCATGGCTTTGTGATGCACTTGTTCTGTGACTGTCATGTCGTATGTTGAAGTTATTATTTGTTATATCATGCACTTTTTATTTTCTGTTTCTGTTTTTTAAGTGTTTGTCAGGTCCAGTTGATATCAATAGATATTCCTTATAATGTATGGTTTTGACAAACCATTTTTGCAAATGCCAGCAAAGCTTAAATCATGACCCATTGGTTGGCTGGCCCTAAGGTTTGTGTTGATATGATAAACAATATTTGTTGTAAACATTTGTATTAGTTTGTAGCTTGGCTTCCCCATCACTGGTGTATTATGCTATATACATCTTATGTTTTTGTTTGGATTCATAATGTATTATTAACTTCCAATATCATTTAAAGTATTAGAAATAGTTATCAGGGTTGAAGGAATCCATATTTTCATATTTTTTTTTTTAATAATTTGACAAAATAGTAATATTTACTGATTTTTTTTTTCTGTCATCTGTCAGAGTTTTGGTGTTGCAGTCTCTCTCTCTCTCTCTCTCTCTCTCTCTCTCTCTCTCTCTCTCTCTCTCTCTCCCTCCCCCCCCCTCCCTCCCTCCCTCCCTCTCCTCTCCCTCTCTCTCTCTCTCTCTCTCTCTCTCTTGAAAGAAAGTTAAACTAGTCTGTCAGTCTTCTTCATTTAAAAGTATTGCACACTCAGTGTCCTACATTTCTTGTCCTCTGTCATGAATAGGAATACACACTATTGTATCCCTTTCTTCTTGGTGTTACATGCAGCTGTTAGGGCTATATCTGATCATTTTTAGTCAGAATGGTTTGTAGATGGGATGTTTTAGGAGTATTAGATGTCACAAAACATTCAATGTTAGATTCACTATGTATGAAGGTGCAGCAGAATGTTATTTACCACTCAGAACTGCACACTTGTGATAGAACGGGCTTGCCGTAGTGAACATCACACGTCTGGCAGTGACAGAATTGGAGTAGGGTCATGTGTTGTGTTGGGTATATTTGTCTCGTTTTTGATTGTACCTTTTTTTTTTCTTTTTTTTCTTTTGTTATTGAGTTAAGTTAAATTTAGCTTCTTCACAGAATGGTATAAATGGGAATGCATGAAGGATTTTGTGGTGTTTTTGAATTAATTACACTGTATGATATTAATGCTGTAGTACAGAAGACACACAGAATTAGAATTAGTACATCTTAGTACATCTTAGTAGCTGTAAGGAGTAATGTCATCAAGATGTAACATATATAAGTAACAGGAATCGGTGATTGGGTCAGAAAAAACACTACATTTTATATTCATCCAAAAGTACTGGCATTATATATGGACATGCATGACTTAGCTGGATTAGTGTTTTTTTCCATTAATGAAACAGATACATGATAATTTGATAGTTGGAAAGTATCATTATGATTGTTTTCAATGTTTTACTAATTTGATGAAGTTTTTTTATTGTATAGGCAACGTGGATTTCCAATTTTTTGTGGATAGATATTATATTAACCAGCACATATGCTCATGTGTAGATTTAGTTCAACAATATATTCATGATATGTTGATTTTGATAGATTGATGCAGTATTGCTTGTCAGTAATATATTTGATTGAAGTAGATAATGTTTTTGACCTTTGTTATCAGTTCATTGTTTGTATGATACTTTTGTATAATCTTTTTTTTTTTTTTTTTTTAATCTAAGTATATACCAACAAAGTTCAATGTGTGTAAATCAAGGGAGATAACTCTACTACATTTAGTTGAAATACTACCATAATTGTAATCTATCACTTCTCATGTCTATAGTTAGAGACGAAACAATAAACAGCAGCACCAATATCTTTCATTCATTGATGCACATTATTAACAACCTTCTGAATAATTCAGAATGAATGTATGTATGTATTATCTTGTTCCCTCAGAATTAATACAAATTTCAATTTTTACAGAAAATGGATCAACTTAAAGATGATAACAAGCGCTTAAAAGAGGAGAATGGTGCGTTAATCCGAGTGATAAGCAAACTGTCAAAGTAGTCTTTCAGGTGGCTGGTATGGTCAGCATTTGGCCAACCAGTTGGGAGACTACAGCGAATTTAACGGAAGGTGCAATGTTCTTAGGGGATGCAGTGACATTTGGAATTACAAGGAGTGTATGCATGTGTGTGGACGTTGATTTGGGTGGTCCTCGGCACATAGTGGAGGCACTTTATCTCCATAGCAGAGATAGTTGCATGGACGAACACTTGGATCGCGGTATGTGTGGATGTAATATTAACAGTCCCGAGGACATAACCCTAGCTCCTGCCTTAACATATTCCGACACAGGATAAACACAGGTCCTGCAACCCAGTTTTATCACATGCTATTTGCGTTAGTTTGACATGTGCACCGTACGTCTTTCGGGATATGCTTCCTTGCGGTGCATTTAGCAACATCAGTGACAAAGTGGACATCAAAACATGCAAGATTGTCGAGGTGATGATTATACATTACGTGCCAAGCATTTAGACATATGAGGAATTATGTCTATAGTGAATGTACATGCTTGTCCTAGTAGGATGACAGAAGTCATCTTTGAACGACACAGATGTTGACTTAAAATACAATATGTTCTTACCCACAATTTTTTTTAGCAAAAATGTCATATCATCTGTCATCTTTCAAACTGACTCTTAATTTCAGCTTATTTGATAGGTTTTAATTTTCTGGGTCACTTTCTACCTTCTTTGGTCTCTTTCTATCAGGTGTAAAGTAACAGTGACAGAGGTGAAGTTTAGCCACACTTTAGCTCTCGTCAGTAGTAAGTTAAGTCTGTAGGTGCTCATATAAAGTACCTAATATATTAAGCTTAGCATAAATTTGTATATAGCTTTATAATAAATGAACTATAATATATCTGTATAGGAACTATATATGTAAATTAATATTGAAACTATAAATAGAATTTATATTTACTTTTATCATTGCTTGACAGAGATAAAGTGTGTTTAGACATCACCTTTTGCTACTGTATCTTTCAAATAGACATAACACTACCCCATAAAGGTCCCTTGTGTTAATTTGGGTCATATAAATAACTGTTAAAGAAAGAGTTCTAGAAAGGAGGTTTAAACTGTTAATGTCAATTTAATGTACATGTTCAATAACAGAAATTAAAACAGTCTGAAATTGATCAAAATACATTTTATTCTCGTCATTCAGTTCCTTGCGAAGGTACGTAAATACTGTTTTGTATACGAGATATGTTAAAACTCAATATAAATTAAGATGTTATCATTTGTGGCCATACTGGTTTAATTTTTTCATATTTTTGAATGAGATAAAATTAAAAGTTGTTTTTAATTATTTCAGATATAGACTCTTTATGTTTAGTTTGTAAGAAATAAAAAGAGGGGGGACTTTTTTTTTTTTTTTCCTCATTGTTTCAGACATCAAGCATCGGTTTTTTAAAATCCTTTTAAGGAAGTGGATCCTCAATTCATGAATGTGCATCTAATTATTTGTTGAAAGAACAATAGATATCTATAAATTTGAATTTGAAATGGAATATAGAGGTTTTTTTTTGTTTCTTAAAGTTTTAAGAAATAAATATATTAGAAGTAAAGTTATAACATGAACCTAAAAGTGACTTTGTTAGAGTGTTTGTTCATGAATTATGTGTTAATGTACACAGGGTAGAGGAAAATTTGTGTAATTTTCCAAAAGTACATGTATATCCATATGATAAATAGGTACATTTCTTCATGTACCTTAATCCCATTCTTTGTCTCAAGTCTGTAATTGTAAATGTGTCCAGTAGGCTAACTGTTCAACACTTAAGGGGATAGAAAACATGCTAGAAAATTCTAGGCTTCTCTGTCGTTACAGAGTGGTTTTTGTCTGATGCACATTTTGATTTGATGGGTTTTGGTTTTTTTCCCACTTTTGGATATTTATTTAGGAACTTTTGGTACATCCATATTTTATAACAGTCGGTATTCTCTTTTTTTTTTGAAAACCTTATTTTTTATGCTTCATGCAGTTGACCACGATGTTCCTTAGAATGTTCCAGGAATGATAAAAAAATTCTGTTAAAGAGTCATTTAGCTAAGGAGTTGTAGGAAAAACTATAGGAGGTCACTGAAGGTAACACATTGTCTGTGAGGTCAGAGATTACTGTTGAGTATTGCAGAATGCTAATTTATGAAGTTACCTCCCTTGATTAAAGTTTGTTTAATCTCCTGACCTCAGAGATGTAATATTTGCACAGGGACATTTATACTACACACGATGATAAGATTAACGAAAGCTAACTACCATATATGTATTTATGTATCCTTCTTGTAGCTCAACGTCAAGCTAACTTACTTAAAAAACATGTACATGGAATATTAACAGGTGACCCAGATAGTTCATTGTTTGTTACCTATTTAAGTCTTAAACAATTGTATGTATTCTTGTGTAAGATTTCACAATACAGTGTACAAGGAAATAGTAGATATCCTTTGTTTTGAGAGTAGTAGTCCGTTATGTATCTGCTGCCTGTTTACGTTATACTGGCACTTGTTATGTTGATATGGTCTATACAGACACATTTGTAGGACCCAGGACAGTTTTCTCTTGCGGTGACATCAGAAAGAGTCACATGACTTCACATTGACCAGTCAGAGGGGAGGATTAATAAGATAGTGCTGCACATGACTCCTCTCTTTCCATGTTACAATATGGTGCTAATAATCGCAAAATACATTGTACTTCTTTCATGTTTCCATGGCAACCACAAATAAATCATGAATGTAAATTTTTTTTTTTAGTGTGTTCATAAGTACTTTGTAATTTTTGATTGATTGTGCTCATTACAGTTGATAAATTATGTATGGATAATGCTCAGCCTTTTGAAAGGATTTAATCCTGATTGTAACATACAGTAGTCAGATTTGTGTAAATGTAGAATGTCGGGAGACTTCCCCGCTGATTCATCGGACCAGGTTGACACCTGTGACCATCAATCCCATACTACCATATTCTGAACATGACATCAGATGATGCAGACCTACCAGATTGAATCATTCCCTCCTATCTACCATTTGTGTGGTGAGAAATTATTGAAACGTTTCATTTCCAAACCAGTTACTGGTCAGCTAATTTCTGGACATGGTTTTTGCATTATGTGTGCAAACATGCATTATATGATATTTTGTTAAATAAGATAAATTCGTCGTCAGGATTTCTATCACCCAAAATTCTGAATCTTTAGATTAAATTAATAAGTGGCGAAATGTAATGAAATTATGTTCTGTCAGGCACGATCTTCAACTTTCAGGATCCAAAAATAAAAGTCTTATTTAAATGAAGAATTTTGTCATTAACTATGATTAATTCATCATATAGCTTAAGTAAGTCATCAGCTATTCCACCATACATCATCAGGTGTGCAAAAAATCATCAGAAGAAGAACAAATGATATCAAATTCAGTACTATTCCACTTCCAATATGAGATTAAACATGTATGATTACTTGTACATGACATAAATTACCTGTATAGCTATTTAAACATGTGAAAAATGCCAATTGTAAATAATAAAACTTGTAAATATATGTATATATTGTACATATAGTCGCTTTGGGACAAGTAATGTTAGATATTAGTCTTAAACCCTAAATATGCATTATGTTTCTAGCAATGTTCGATAACAATTGTACATGTCTATATTATGAATATATATATTTTGATCTCAGATATTATGGCTTGTCAAAGCTCTATTTTCCAAATATTATATTTTGACATATTTTACGTTTTTTGAATGCAAGTGATGGCCATGATGATGGCCTCCTTCTCCACTAACTGTGCGCCTGGCACTCCCTACTGCCAAATCTTGCTGGGTTTCACTTAAATAGGTTGATAACTTGGTAGTGTATCTCTGATACGGACAGCTGACATTGTAATATCCCCAGTGACATTACTGGGTCCAAATTGAATTGGTATGTCCATACCAGACAGACACTTTTACATTGCTGCAGGTTATATCTCTTGTTAACCTTAAAACTCATCAAAGTTGGTGTTGTTAGGTCTTGTGCTAAATTTGGTACCTATCTCTTGGCCATAAGCATCAGATTTGCAACTGCAATTGGTCCGTACCTGTCCCTGGTCTTCTATTTCATTGGTGTGATATTTGACCTTTGATGCCTTCTGACCTTTGCAGATTTGCCTCCCTAAGTGACATGTTGGACTTAGGGCTTGCTTACAATGTCGACAGCTAAGTTGCCATGGTAACAAGATGGACTGCACACAACTTACACATAGACTTACCATTGTTTGTTAAAGCACCAGGTCTTTGAGCTTACATGAACTCTGACCTTGTCTTCAAGGGCCTGAGTCACTGACAATCATTTGTCAGTGACCTTTGACCTTCAGGACGAGGCCTCTGTGTCTCTCTGGGTGACATGTTGGACCCAGAGTCAGCTCTGGATAGGTGATCTTTGACCTCTGGCTGTTTTAAATCCTAAAGTCACCCGATTTTGATTGTTGTTGTTTTTTCTCTATTGTTAATTGTTGCCATTTATTGTTGTTACTTTTGCATGCAGGGTTTATGACCAAGTCTATACTGTCATTCCCTATGCAACTGTACAATATTATATATTTATTGCTTGTTCATGTTTTTGGGGGCTTTTCCCTGCCTTTACTGTATTAACAACTGCTTGACATAACAGACACCTACCACCATCGCTTCCTAGCTCACTTTAGAGCTTTTCGGTGCAAATGTTTTGTCGTGAATTTCGTCTTGGATGGAGGAATGGTAGATGTGTTACTATGTCAAACAGGTATGGTCGCCACTTGTTTGTGTATGGACCTCGGTTATGGTAGCCTAGCAAAATAACTGGATGTCCCTGGTCTTTGTATTTGTCTACTTTTAGCAGAGCCAGGTGTATTGATGGTTATTATTTGGTATTGTACATAATAGCACCCCAGTTGTCCGTCCTTGGTGATAGAGGACTGGGGAAGACTGTCTTTCGGTGACATGTTGGACCCAAAGTTTGTACAATATTGATAGCTGTGCTACACTTACATAAGTGTCTAATTAGTTAGACTGACCTTAAGTTTGCTATTGCTAATTGTTTAGCTAGGTTTACCGTAGTGTGCAGAGTAGATAGCTTATGTTGCAAGGTCAGTCTCTCTCTTCCTTATTTCTTCACCTCTATTTCTGCCTCAAATTCTTCTTTCAACTAAATAAAAAGCGACAATCTAAAAAAGATTTCTGTTTTTAAGCAATTTTCTCTTGAAGATATATTGAAATCATACCAGGTATTTGTAAATGTCAAACATGAATTATTTTTGAAAGGTTTGGGAGATGGGGAATCTTTATTACTTGATTATTACTTGTTGATGGATACGTCTGGTAAGAATGCTGATATCACAGCCTTCATTGTCCACTGTTTGTCATTGCTAACAGAGTTCTGACCAATAGTGGACGATGTGGGTGTAGGTGTTCCACAGTGACATGTTGGACTCTGGACATGCATACTTACCACATTTATTCCAAAATATTAATGACAAATTATGTGAAGGTAGTACTGGATATTTTTCCTACTTCTTTCTCTTTTCCTTCTAATCTTGGTGGAAGCAATCTCATATTCTAGCTTTTTTGTCAATTCCTGGAACTTGATTGTTTAAGTTATTTGTTCAGGAATTTTGTAGAAATATTTTTCCAAAACTAGTCAAGCTGTGATCCACACTCCATGGATGTACCTATAAGTGAAGAACGTGATATAGAGAAGCTGTATTTCCAGGACATAAAGGGTCTCACTTATGCATTCCAGCTGTGTTTGATACAGTGTGGTACTTTTCACTGCTGTCTCCAACATCCACTGAGAAAATTCTAATGATTCTAAAATACATTGGTTACGGTGTCTCCGATAAGTTCATTACTGATGTATTACAAAGCAAAGGTTATCTGTTAACAATCGCAGACTGATTTAAAAAAATAATAAGCCAGTTTTTGAGATAACCAATTTTCATGACTAACTTTTTTTTTTATCAACACAAGATTCCTCTTTGTTTTATAGAATAAAAGATATTAACTGTCAAAGGGAAACAACTCAGCACAAATATTCAACAAAATGGATTCTTGCAGATGAAATGGGACCTCAGATATTCATATATATAATATTATATAATTTTATACATTGTAATACTACATAACAGAACATCTAAATGTTATATTGCCATGGATGTACATAGAGTGTGACTGAAGTACGGGTCTATTTCCCAACATCAAGATTTCAGCATTTTCAGAGTTTTATGGGGGTTGTTTTACATGATGGCTTATGCCTAAAACAGTATTATGTATGATTTTGTTTTGCTTTTTTCCTTCCCTTAATGATGTTTACACACATTGTGCTATATATGTAGCATGGCCAGTGCTATATACAGGTCAGCTTTGACCTTTGACCTAAATCAAATGCATAGGGACTTACTCCATTTGAGTGATCCCATGCCATGAATTGCCAAATTTGTGATAGTTCCTAGAAAATAGCCAACATCAAAGGTGTCTTTCATAGAAAGTTTAGAAGCTCCCGTTGTTGATGGAGCTTGGACTGATGATGCTCTGGGTGTTGCAAGGACAAATTGGATTGCAGCAGGCTTCGACACCTGAAGCAACACAATGTTGAATTATGTATGTAGATAAAATTTTAGTGAATTTTCTAGTACTGACCTTAGTTTATATAATATTGATGTGGTTGCCATGGAAACATTACATATAAAAATACCTTTGTGCATTTACATTTTGTACATACCTATGTGCATAAGAAAGTTGCTAATTTTGGAATGTTTACCTTCTATGAATACTTGGTCATGTGATTGGTCATGTGATGATGCATCACCCAAGGAAATGTTTTGTATGCTGCAAGTGCCGAGTCTACTTCCTTTGCATGTTGTGAAATATAGAAATTGTAATCAATTCTGTATTGTAATGATTCCTGACTATTTGTGTAGGAAAATAGCTGTGAAACTACTTAATAAAAATAATTTAAATTCAAAACTGCCTTTGTCTTTCAATGTCACATTTTAAGCCTACCATCATATTTTTGTCTCTTTGTCTGTAAACAGTGACCCCTCTGTCTTTAAATAGGTGATTGCGCGGTCTGTAAACAGTGACCTCTCTGTCTTTAAATAGGTGATCGCGCTGTCTGTAAACAGTGACCTCTCTGTCTTTAAATAGGTGATCGCGCTGTCTGTAAACAGTGACCCCTCTGTCTTTAAATAGGTGATTGCGCGGTCTGTAGACAGTGATCCCTCTGTCTTTAAATAGGTAATCGCGCTGTCTGTAGACAGTGATCCCTCTGTCTTTAAATAGGTAATCGCGCTGTCTGTAGACAGTGATCGCTCTGTCTTTAAATAGGTAATCGCGCTGTCTGTAGACAGTAATCCCTCTGTCTTTAAATAGGTAATCGCGCTGTCTGTAGACAGTGACCCCTCTGTCTTTAAATAGGTGATTGTGCTGTCTGTAGACAGTGACCCCTCAGACTGTAAACAGGTGATCTCACCATCTGTAAACAGTGATCACTCCTTCTGTAAACAGGTGAATCCTTCATCTAAATATGTGATTCCTCTGCTTGTAGGCAGCATTCTTTCCTTCTGTAGACAGTGTTCCTTCCTTCTGTAGACTGCGATCCTTCCTTCTGTAGATGGTGTTCCTTCTGTAGACAGTTATCCTTCCTTCTGTAGACAGTGTTCCTTCCTTCTGTAGACAGTGTTCTTTCCTTCTGTATACAGGCGATCCTTCCTTTTGCATACAGGTGATCCTTCATCTAGGTAGGTAGTCCCCTCTTCTGTAAAAAGTGACTTTTTGCACCTGACACTCTCTTCTTTCTAAACAAATAGTTTCTTGTAAATGTTGTCTTTGACACTGCCTCAATTTCAGCCTTTAGTTGAGTGGTTGCCCCTGTGGTGAAGCCTTTAGTGGAGTGGTTGCCCCTGTGATGAAGCCTTTAGTGGAGTGGTTGACCCTGTGGTGAAGACTTTAGTGGAGTGGTTGCCCCTGTGGTGAAGCCTTTAGTGGAGTGGTTGCCCCTGTGATGAAGCCTTAAGTGGAGTGGTTGACCCTGTAGTGAAGACTTTAGTGGAGTGGTTGCCCCTGTGGTGAAGCCTTTAGTGGAGTGGTTGCCCCTGTGATGAAGCCTTTAGTGGAGTGGTTGCACCTGTGGTGAAGCCTTTGATTCCGTCCTCATACCTTGATTAGTAGTAGCTACTCCCAGCTAAACAATCTGTGACAAACTACAAAACTCAGTTCGACATTATCACAAAGATACCTGAATATATTGCATTCTCCTGAAAACTTCTAGGGAATACCTTCTTGAATGACCTTAGATATAGATTGGACAATAAACAAGATATCCGGTTATAAGCCTTTTATTGAAGTTTACCCCATTGTTATAAGTCTTCATAAGATAATGTCCAGCTATACCTTCAGTTATTTCCAATAAAAATTTGTTTCAAACTCTGATGATACTACTGTGACCTGATGCAGCTGTGCCCTACAACATGGTTTTAAAAACAATCACCTTTAGAGGGAAATTATGGCGCCTTTTTAGATGACCTGCCTTAAGCTGAAATTAAGCGCAAATACTCGCAACAATCAGGATGATAAATTTGAATGATTTAGAACCTAACACCTAGAACATCACTGACAGACCTACTTCCATATATGTTCAGTGTTTCAGCCCATCAGCAAACATATTTCTTTCTAAGCCTTTAGGTCTTTTGTAAGTAGCTGACTTCATCTGTACACCTGGAATATATCGGATTTTTTTTATGTTCCTATATTATCGACTATGTATTGCTGTTCTTTTACCTATGTACTTGTAAACATATGAGATATAACTGTTACATTGAGTGTTTTTGTTCTACCCACCCACCCCATCCAAGTTCATCCCATCCAGCATATGTAATCATCAGGTCTAGTACTGGTGTTATAGCAATTCAATGGAGATTTAAAGTGTTTTAACTTAACATTTCATACATCAATACCCACTTTCAAAGATTTTTAAAGTTTTCCTTGTCCATAATTATACTTGATATATCAAGGCCCTTGACCTTGCAGAACTTGAGAATTTCTCAGTATGTACCTAAAATAGCAATTTTCAACTTTTACTCCTATAAATACATTCAATAGCAATCGACCACAGTATGCTACAGGCAAAATTTCATCACCGTCTTCCTCTTGGTCTTTGAGAAAATGATACTTAGATATTATGACATTGCTGCCCTCTGTTACCTTAAATTGGGTCAAGGTCATTTATATGAACAAATTAGATAGCCAATGTCCTGAGCATCATAAATGTAAAATATCTTGTCTGTAGGCCTTATAGAATTTGAGCTTTTGATCCTTACTGATAACTGGAAGCTGACAATTGACTAAATGAAAAAAAGGAGAGGGTCCTGATAATTGTTGATTTGTTTTTGTTTGTTTTTAAAATATATTCAAATACAATATATTCGGTCAATAATTAGTATGACGAATTAAAGTTAAAATCGGACATTACGTCATAGTGGCCATTTGTTTTCCTGATGAAGTTGAAACTAGTAGAAAACATCTTGGGTAACCTTTCCCATAACAGTTTAGCAAAATATAAGTAAATGATATAAGTCTAAAACAAGTTTTATCAATTTGTCGGCATTTTAAGAGATCAAGCGGAACGGTAAATATTGAAGAAAACCCGAAGGCATTTAATATATCGGAATGACCTTTTGCCTCCGTCTGCAAAGAAGTTTTCATAAGTAACACAAAATGAGAAAAAAATTGTGACTTTTGACCCAACAACGAGGGTTTTTTATGACATATTTTGTATTAACATGTAATGAGGAAAAGTCAGATAAAAAAAGGTCATCTACAAATAATATAACTGCACAAACTCTGTACAATCAACTATTGTCGAGATATGGATATTTAATTTGTTTTAACATATGACGCCGTGGCGGTCATATTGGATTTATGACCAGCTTAGAAATGTTGCTTTGACACCTTTAGATACGTACCTACAACATTCTAAATAGACTATAAACCTTCATGTTATCGATCAGAAGATTAGGAGTCCATAAATTTTGGGGGAAAATGATAACAATAATGATAAAAAACAACAATCACCTAGGTTTTTTAACCAGTTGTTGAAAAATCTTAATCTTTGACTGACCATGACAGAAGGCGGACATTTCTCATATGATCCTGTTTTTCGGGTTGACGGTGAAATATTCTATTTTAGTCACTATATGTCGTTCTATAACGAAACCCGAACATATCAATTTAAATTACTGGAAAATCTTTATCGAACGATCATGATTCAGCTACAATGTTTACTCAGTAATACTATACATGTAGGTACATCTCTGGATACGCGTTTGTGGTTAGAACACAGCTGTTATTATAAAATATATAAACAGGATATTATTGTACAATTTTATAAGATTTTAATGATTTCGGCTTGTCAGTTTCGTAGAAATAAAACTGTTTTGCAACAAAGATATTTTAACATGATGACACATATATTTGTCAACAGTGGTAATGTAAACAAGGAAATGTGTGTATATCCGTGGCAAAATTGATACAAACAGTGAATCCTAGTCAGAAGTTAGCAGTAAAAGCATATAGACTACAGGATTTGAGGGATTTTGAGAGTTGAATGTCCTGTTCTTTAAATTCTAAAGTCTAAATCTGTCTATCAGTGGTTCAAAAATGTTACGATAATTTATATTAGCATTCACAATTTAGACTTTTGATATTAACATAAATTTTACATATTTACGTGCTATATGTACACTAGTGGGCATGCTGTTATCAACAAAGTGTAGCCGAACACGTTCCGTTTTGTATATCATCTAGGCTACGACGCAAGGCACTTCCTAAAGATGTTTACAAATGAAGAATACAATCCACAGTATACACACGTGAAACAGTAATGATCATAATAAAGAGACGTTCAGTTTCATAATCAAACGAGAACTGAATGTCTTGTATTGCTCTTCCGTGTATTTCAGGTTAGAGTTGAAAACTTCAGTCCTTTATCTTTATCCAAACCAATCGCAATTGTTGCTGACATCGTTTCAAACAAAAGAGAAAACTGTGATTGTTTTGTGTTACCGAGTTTACCTAGATATCTGAAAACCGTGATGTTGCAGACGACGACAACGACAATACCGATTACAGCAAAGAGTATGCTTATGACGATGAACCCAGTATTGGTCTGTACTGTGGAATCAACACACACCAAGTCATTCGGAGATATATCCCACAAGTTTCTACCAAAGTGATGACCATCGAGGCATGTCATGTTCTGCCTGTCTACGACATTGACATTGGTCTTCATTAGCCAGTTTTTGAAATCCACAATATTACAGTCGCAAGCCCATTGATTCCCTCGTAAATCCACTGTGAAATTAACGTTTCTTTCATGAAGTTGATCAAACATTCGAATCGTCGTTAAGGTAACACGATTAAAACTGTTGTCACTCAAGTTAAGGAGCTGCATGTTTAACATGTTGCTAAAGCAAGGATCAAGCACTAGTTTGGCTAAATTGTTTGAGTGCAAGTCTAAAATCTGCAAGTTTGTTGCAACTTTGCATACAGTTGATGACATATCTGAAGCAAATGTCCAAATATTGTTTTCTCCGAGGTAGAGCTCGGTCAATGTTTCCATATGAGTATCATGAAAAGCTGAAGACAGATATCCAAAGTCTGACCTCTTTATTGAATTCGTCAATATAAGCTTTTGAAGGTTCGGGATTTTCGAAAAGACTGCAAAAATATTTCCTTCATCCATAGACCAACTATTCAACGATAGATCCAAGTGTTTAAGGTAGGGGATGCAGTAAAACGCTTTCCTGTGGATAGTACGAATGTTGTTGTTTCTCAAAACGACGTCTGTTAAATGGAGACGTTTTGATGGGTCGCCCTTACATTTTCCAAACATATTTCTCTTGAGCTTTGTGATATTACCACCAGAGACCGTAAGATGTGTTGTGGTCGGTCCGATAAACGCATACAATTCGTCGAAAAACTGTTGGTTGAGTCTTGTGTTGACTGTACCGCTACTGTGACAGTGAATGCTAGTCTCATCACAGCTGCACTCCGTCAGTTCAGGGCAAGGCACCATTATAGTGAAACCAACACTGAAAACAATGGACAGAAAAGGGTATCCTAGGCCGACCTTCATATCGTCAGATCTCCTGTCCCACTAACATATTCTAGAATGTGATAACCGGGTAATGGCGTGCGGGTACCTTCCAGTCGGTTACACTATAATGTTTGAGCGTACGTAGCTGATACCTGTGGTTTGTGCAACCAGGCATTTCAAATACATTTGCACATGTAAATACTGCATTTCTCTGACGAAGGAAATGCTGTTATGCAATTGACCATCTCTCGTATACAACTTACTGTCTTTACTATTTTATCCTTAGTCGTCGTAACTTCCTGTTTACATATATCATATGCTTTTCGTCGCCTTCTGTTTAATATACATATCTTCTGTGATTCTTGACGCCTTCTGTTTATACCATTGTTTACAACTCGACTCCTATTAACATATATCATATGATCCTCGTCGCCTACTGTTTATATATCTCGTGTGAACCTTGTCGTCTCCTGTTTATATATCTCTTGTTACCCTCATTGTCTCCTGTTTATACATCACTTGTGATCCTCATCGTCTCCTGTTTATATATCTCTTGTGATCCGCATCGCCTACTGTTTATATATCTCTTGTGATCCTCGTCGTCTCCTGTTTATACATCTCTTGTGATCCTCGTCGTCTCCTGTTTATGCATCTCTTGTGATCCTCATCGTCTCCTGTTTATGCATCTCTTGTGACCCTCATCGTCTCCTGTTTATACATCTCTTGTGATCCTCGTCGTCTCCTGTTTATACATCTCTTGTGATCCTCGTCGTCTCCTGTTTATACATCTCATCTTATCCTCATTGTCTCCTGTTTATACATCTCTTGTGATCCTCGTCGTCTCCTGTTTATACATCTCTTGTTATCCTCGTCGTCTCCTGTCTATACATCTCTTGTGATCCTCATCGTCTCATGTTTATATATCTCTTGTGATCCTCGTCGTCTCCTGTTTATAAATCTCTTGTGATCCTCGTCACCTACTGTTTATATATCTTACATGATCCTCGTCGCCTACTGTTTATATATCTCTTGTGATCCTCGTCGTCTCCTGTTTATATATCTCTTGTGATCCTCGTCGTCTCATGTTTATACATCTCTTGTGATCCTCGTCGTCTCCTGTTTATACATCTCTTGTTATCCTCGTCGTCTCCTGTTTATACATCTCTTGTGATCCTCATCGTCTCCTGTCTATACATCTCTTGTGATACCCGTCGCCTCCTACATACATTTCTCCTCGTCCTTACAGTTACTGAAGGGAGACACAATCACGTGGTAGATTAAGTATTACTGATGTCCTTACAGTTACTGAGGGGGACACAGTCACGTGGTAGAGTTATTATAACAGATGTCTTTACAGTTACTGACGGGGACACAGTCACGTGGTAGAGTAAGTATAGCTGATGTCCTTACAGTTACTAAAGGGAACACAGTCACGTGGTAGAGTTACTATAACTGACGTCCTTACAGTTACTGAAGGGGACACAGTCACGTGATAGAGTAAGTATAGCTGCAGTTACTGAGGGGGACACAGTCACGTGGTAGAGTTAGTATTAATGTTGTCCTTACAGTTACTGAAGGGGACACAATCACGTGGTAAAGTAAGTATAACTGATGTCCTTACAGTTACTGAGGGGGACACAATCACGTGGTAGAGTAAGTATAACTGACGTCCTTACAGTTACTGACGGGGACACAGTCACGTGGTAGAGTAAGTATAACTGATGTCCTTACAGTTACTGAGGGGGACACAGTCACGTGGTAGAGTTAGTATTAATGGTGTCCTTTTAGTTACTGAAGGGAGACACAGTCACGTGGTAGAGTAAGAATAATTGATGTCCTTACAGTTACTGAAGGGGGCACAGTCACGTGGTAGAGTTAGTATAACTGATGTCTTTACAGTTATTGAAGGGGACACAATCACGTGGTAGAGTTACTATAACTGACGTCCTTACAGTTACTTAGGGGGACACAGTCACGTGGTAGAGTTAGTAATAATATTGCCCTTACAGTTATTGAAGGGGACACAGTCACGTGGTAGAGTTAGTATTAATGTTGTCCTTACAGTTACTGAAGGGGACACAATCACGTGGTAGAGTTAGTATTAATGTTGTCCTTACAGTTACTGAAGGGAGACACAATCACGTGGGAGAGTTAGTATTAATGTTGTCCTTACAGTTACTGAAGGGGACACAGTCACGTGGTAGAGTAAGTATAACTGATGTCCTTACAGTTACTGAAGGGGACACAGTCACGTGGTAGAGTTACTATAACTGACATCCTTACAGTTACTGAAGGGGACACAGTCACGTGGTAGAGTTACTATAACTGACATCCTTACAGTTACTGAAGGGGACACAGTCACGTGGTAGAGTTACTATAACTGACATCCTTACAGTTACTGAAGGGAGACACAGTCACGTGGTAGAGTTAGTATTAATGGTGTCCTTTTAGTTACTGAAGGGGACACAGTCACGTGGTAGAGTAAGTATAACTGGTGTCTTTACAGTTACTGAAAGGGACACAGTCACGTGGTAGAGTTACTATAACTGACGTCCTTACAGTTACTGAATGCTGAGAGAGTAGGTGTAACAGATGTTGTGTATTCTATAGTGTGGTCTGATGTGAATTTTCTTTTCTTGGATTCCAACTTCATCAACGCGTTTGTTTTTCAATATCAAGGTTTGTATTAGTGAGTAAGTATAGCTAAAATGTGTAATATTTCCAACCATTTAAACAGATTTACGTGTTAATACAAACACTACTCTCCCCCTATAATGTTTTGTATATAGGGAATCCGATCACAAATCAATTACACAGTTCAATTTCTGCTGCATAGGCAGTGATTTAACTGATGTTGATTTAGTCAAAATTATAGTGTATTTCAATATCTCCATTGTGTCATTTTCTTTGTATTGATTTCTTGATTACAAAGTGACAGGTACTATGGTGTTTATTTGGTTCAATTCACTTAAAATGCTACAGCTCTGTATTTAATCCCAAGCGGTAGTCAACCTGGACTATACGCTTCCTTGTCGCGATCACTGGAAAATAGGTCAGCCTGACTTTTGATGCATGTAATAATATGACGTCATGAGGGATAATTTCTAAGACTATATGCACAGGGTGGGCAATACATAAGTGACAATTTTCTGCGCAGCGTCGTCATATGTTTACACTTTATGCTGGCATGACACAACCTTCACCGATAACACTACAAGATTTTATCCCGGTCAAGTTTTGTGTTTTCATCAGATAACAAAACAAATCTGGATTTGAACATGTTCATATTCTGCAGAGTGAAGGAACTGTAGAGCTTAAAATCTGGAAAAGAACAAATGTGTACATAATTTTGAAAAAGAAGATTTTCTGTGTTCGAGACATTTTACATAACTTCTGCCTGAGTTTCAAAAACTGGCCAAGGTATGGCGAGTTCAGGTGAGCTGGTGAGGGAGAGGATCAGAATAGGCCCTGGGGTATGTCACCAGACATTTGATGACATCACGAACAGTTCCAAGTATAACTGGATTGATGTTTCATTCGATGTAAGTACTGAACAACTATTCCTAAACATCTTCTGATAAGGTCTTCCTCAACTGAAACTGCTGGTGTGTTTTTAAAATACATAGTTGGTATCACATGAAATTCTCAGCGCATCTAAAGCAAAACTGTTCCGTCAATTTTATAAAGAAATAAGAAATGACGTATCGATTAATTTGAGTATAACTTCAATTTATCTATTTATTTATTTATTTTTTACGTGAATCATCTTTGAGTCTCCAACATTCGTAGGAAAGTGAATCATGACAGATCTGCTAGACTCTATTAACGGTAATAGTTAAGGTCCACACAATGGCTGGAATTGACCAATTAAAAAAAGGTAGGACACGAATATGCATGTATCGCATATAGCAATTATTCAAAATGATTCATATGCTTGATATTTAGAATAATTTAACAAATTAAAAAAAAAAAAAAAAAAAAAAAAAATTAAACAAAAGCTCTTGTTTCTTCTAAATGTTGTTGACGTTGATAAATCAATACTAACGGTAATCAATTTTAACCCGATGAGACAGGAACTCCATAATGGCTTGTTGACAGTTAAAAAGTGTATAAATTGCATGACTGTTGGGGAAAAAAGCGAAGTTGACAGAATACAAACTTCGATTCTTGATTTTGGTGGATGTCAGACAGCTAACCTCGTTCAAGAATTAATGGCTGTGAACGAGTTTATAAAATTCTTGGGAATAACATTATAACGAAAATACATGTATTGGCAGAGCGAATACAAAGCCTACGTCGAGAATCCCCTCTGTAACTATATCAATTTCGACACTATGAGGTTCAGACAGAAATTGACACGGTAGGCGATGGTAATATAAATTACATATAATGTATACAGTTCCATGGGTAATGTACGCGCAGACAGAAAGGTTTGAAATTTGTACTAAAGAAAACTTACCTCTATTCCATTATCGAGATAAACCTCTGTTAAAAAATATAAAGCTCAGATAACTTTATATTCAACATTACGATTAAAAGATCAAAATTTAGTTCCATCTTATATATATATATATCTATATTATGTTATTTGGTTTATCGTATATGTTCATAAATGCTAAGAAAATATACCTTTTGAGCCATTAAATCACATTGGTCACAACTGTATTTGGCTGGGATTTTGTGGAACGGATAATTTCTCCAAAAGTCTATAACATATAATGTTTTTAATATTTTGCAATGATATTAGTACGGTGTAAAACCTTTACATTAAGTAGACTTGTACACATTGGGAAAAAACAAACAAACTAGAACCCTTGAATGTACAATACATTCGTTCTCGCAAAAACGTAATCAGATCGTAAATGATTCCCATTTGATTAACCTTATGCATAGTGGTTTCATTTTCACGGCTGTCTTAATGATGACAGGTGGTATATTTTGTTTTATTTAATTTATTGCAACAGAAATAACAAACTCATTGTGTACAAGTTTAACAGCGTATATACTCTCAAGGCAAGGTAAACAAGTATCATTTTGATACACATGGAAAATCTAGTCTTGTATAAGATCAGAGACATATATAACGTCTCTGATAAGACATATGATAAATTTATACACTATATGAAAGAACTTGTATATAAAAAGGATACTCATATATATCCTTAATTGTAAGAAATATCTTATGTATAATTAATATAATTTCTTTTATCAAATAGGAAGACATTATTGAAACGGGCTATAGTAGTGGTCGGGAGGTGTGTTTGTATTGGCCAATGAAAACGTTCTTTCTGTAGGTGTGCATGTGGAGGTCATATTGTGTAGACTGCTACTGTAAACAGACATTCGTTGTTTTGACAGGACAACATGGATGCGGAGATTAGTCCAGCAAAACGGGCAAAAGTCGACAATGGCAATACCGTAAGTGTGTATCACTGAAATATAGAGATAATCATATATAAATTATGTTAACTACATATCGAATTTGTTTTGTAAAGCGAAAAACACTAATCACCACTCCGATATCAGCGCGTCACTGTTTTTGGAAACATGCCAACAATTAGCTGGCTAGTAAAGTTGTTCGGCGTCAAATAAATTTTACAGTGTGTATTCTATGTTGAAAAACAACTGTGCATGTGTATTGTTGTGTCGTGTGTTTAAACACAGACTGGCAAATATAGCCACATATCGATTTATGCTAATCTTATTGTCTGTTATATTTTTAGTGCAAAAATGCTTGCTAAAATAACCATCTCCTGTTATAGACTTTTACCAAGGAAGCTGGCTATTGCATAGTACATGCAATATTGGAATATAACCTCAATATAGATCAATTGCTCGTTTTATATGGCATTTACTGACAAACGATAATCTCGTGTAATCCCCTTTGGCAAGCTTAACCCAAAATGGCTTGATATTTCAATTAATCACGTTCCCACACGACCCATGGGCTTTCATAACCAATGGTACATTCAGTTGTAAATACTAAAATGTCATAACTAGAAATAAACAAATACCTGGCAAAATAGTTACAGATGTTTTAAACCCACACGATTCTTCGCTGCGAAAAGTTCAATATAGAATGCCTATACATGTCAAACTTCCTGCAACCCAGAAGATAACTGTATAAATACCCTGTGTTAATAACCAAGTCATAAATGTTCTTGTATAAAATTGTGTTAGATTTTAACATTATCACCTGCTTAATGTAAATGAGTGTCTAGAATACAACACTCTCTATTCCACGAACGTCTTGTATATACTATAAAATCGTGTCCCATTTTATGATGAAATACGCCACTTTAATGCGGTAAACTTGTGTTGGTCGAGTGGCCTCTAGCCTATAGCTACATCTGTCACCTGTCAGTTGGAATGGACATGTTAGCCTTGCCTTAGTGACCCAAGTAGTTCATCATCTATTAATTTACATATCAGGAGTTAGTTTTAGGTAAACCAGCCAAATTCACATTTGCATTTTTTTTCTTTTTTGACAAATAAACGGTTCTTACTTTTTAATGACCATTTCGGAACACATTCAATGCACTATAACATCCCCGACGGATGTCCTTTTTTTCTTCATATAATAATAGGCCTGTGCACGTCTGGTATGCAAATATTTACCTGTATGTCACAATCAATTTATCACGCTCATGTTCCCGCTGTTATCTAGAACTTCGGAAGTCACGGTGGTGTATTTCGCATTTTTGTGCATGGTCGTGATGTTACACCACATTTTCATGTGATCTATTGAGCCATAGACTTTGAATATATCGAAACGATTCATCATTGCCAATTCTTTCTAAAATATTACAAGAGAAATATATGTATTTAAAGCATATATTTTTGTGAGAAGAATGAAAAATGCCAGTTATATTGTTTTAGAAACTTAAAAAAAAAAAATCAGCAAACGGAAAGAACAACCCGGGAACAATGTAAAAGCTTGAAACGTGAACAATATGACGTGGGTAATTGTTTCATGTGTCACAAACTAACTTATGGAGTATGAGATAAGGGCAAACCAATGTACTATAATGCAATGCTAAATTCATGCGAACACGCCAGTTAGATAACGGAATGATACGTGACGTAGGATGTACTGTAGACATGCAGTTTATAAACGACCTCATCAAGGATAAGATGAAATATCCAGTCTGCATTTAACGTGCTTTGTACAGAATAATAATGACGAGGATTGAAATTTCATTTTTCCATTATGAATACTTTAATACATTTACGTCACATGTATTAGCCAACAACGCAAGAGAGAGTCATAACGTTAATATAATGCATGATTTGGTTATAGTGTTTTGTACTGATGGCTTGTTAAACCCTGCTACATGTTATCATGTATAATTAGCTCAAAGAATCGATGCAATTTTAAGTACTGAGAGGAAAGCATTAAAATGCAATTATATTGATCAAACGGCGTGTTATAGTTTGTGTAAGCACGGTTAATGCTTGAAAAATCTTATTCTTCAGCATTATATTTACATATGCAAGAAATCGAAGATGAAGTTGTAATATACGACAGTGCTTGGTAAACACACCGGGTGTACCAAAGTGTTATCGACTTTCAGTTAAGTCGACCTGACCGTGAACTCCCGTTTATATGTTTTATCTGCTCCACGATAAAAATGTGCTGATGCAGTTTGCTGTCACGTAAAGACGGGGGAAGCTTACAGTTTTGTTGGGTGTCTTCCTTGTTATAGGTCACACTTTACCAATGAAGATGAAAGGCGTGTAGCTCTATTCCAATTACGGGAAATTTATTTTCTAAAGCATGACACCTTTGATAGTATATATTTATATAATTATGAAGATAGTTTAAGTTCGATATATTTTATAGAAAGTTTTTATGGTTTCAACTTTGATCATTTCGATATTTTATCTCTATCTTACGTCAATAGGTTGTTGTTTTGTCCATTTATAAAGGAACACTCCAAAATTTCTTTCCATTTTGAGTGTCATGGTTCTGAAGCATGCATATTGAAATCAAGTAGTCATACGTGCTGTAATATTTAATCACCGTAACAACAGCTCTGAAAAGGACATTTAACACAAACTATGATATACAAAACACACGTTACAACTCGCTGGTTCACCTGTAGTGTAGCTTGTAGCAGTATATTGACTGGGGAAAAATCATTCTCAAGGTTATTAGTAAGCGGAGAGACAAGGAGACTGGCGGAAGGGAATGTAGTAAGGACAGAATATATTAATTTCACATGCATGGTTTGTGAAATATTATGAGGAAATGTCGACATTTTGACATTTTACAACATTAGAGACACCTTCGCCATCATAAGTAAATGGTTTGAGAAATGTTGACAGCGTGGTATGTTACATCTGTCTTTATTTTATTGTTTATGATGCCATCTCTTTCCCGGGTTACTATGACTATACAAAACTCAATATCATGTAAGGATCCACATTTTCCCTGATTTACCAAGACTTAGTCATAGCCCATTGTTTCCGAAACATTAAGCTAATGTTTCTTTGTAAAAAGTTCAATATTCTCTTTCTGTTATGTAGTAAAAATTACTGTCTTTATGATCTGTTTTTAAACTGTAGGAAGATGGTGACCTGAAGACATATCATGGTTACATTGAGGAGGAACACGATAAAAACGCCATCAGTCTCCTATTCTCTACGAAAGAGGAGGTCGGGGCACTGGCTGGCTGTCTCAAAGTTTTCAAGGTAAGTTCTAGGTAAAGGTCATACCTTGTTATCAGGGGGTATTTAGAATTGTATTTAGAATAGATATTGTGCTATTGTTAACGTAAGGTAAAAATATTTAGGACGCCATTATGACTCAGTGTATCAGTTTCTTGATGAAGAAATCGAACTTTGGCTAATAATTGCAATAGTGCAAAACACATTAAACTTATCGTCATTGATAACGGAGTGATGTATAACTCTATATTCTTCTTTAAATTCGTGAATATAACGATTGAGTAATTCCGGTATTGCAGAAACACAAGGTGAACTTGTCCCACATAGAGTCTCGTCCGTCGAAGAGAGGTAATGATAGTTATGACTTCTTTGTCAATTGCGATTCTCACCAACAAGCAACGTTTAGGACCATGGTGGATGAACTGCGAATGCGTACTACAACGTTGAAAATTTTAACACGAGACGGCACTGATGAAGGACCAGGATCAGGTAGCGTCAGTTTTGTAACATTGGAAGTTTACGATACAATAACGGGATGTAAATTTAGCTGTTGTTGTTTCTGTCGATTGTCTAGGAACGTTGAGGGTTTCTTTGTTTTCCGAGTCAAGTTGTAAGTCCAAATTGTTTGCGAAAATAACACACTGTTTGAAGAAGGCATACTAAAGTCATTCATGGATAATCGGACTGGTGGTATAGATTTGTGTCATTGATTATTATTGTCTAACACAAAACTAATGACGTGGCGTCAAAAATTAAGTTTTAATACATTTAATAAATAAAAGTAAAATACATTTTGTATTGACGTAGATGTGTTGTAATGTATGCACAGCCACACGGTATCATTTCTGTGTCACTGAAGTGTACACTATATTTGGCTTGTTTTGTTCTGTAGTCGAAATCCCAAAATTGGCTTGACTGACAGACAATAACAAACGCTGTTTAGTATTTGTCTGTGGTTTAGGTGAACTTGTATTTCAAAATTTTCACGAGTGTAAATTATTTAATACAGCATTCTTAATGGTCAGCAAGAATGCGATAAAACGTTTTTGTTTTTTCTGTATCTTCAAATTACTGGTATAAAAATAAATTAAAAAATGGTCATTTTAATATTCGAGAAAGTTTGCTAATTTGCGATATAGTATATAGCTTGTTGGTTAGATTATCGTTATAAAACCACAACAAATGTTCCCGATCACCAATGTATACATGTTTGTGTAGTTAAAATCATCCTCAATGTATACATTATCTTGTGTAATAAATAGTGATTTACAATCTTTACGCTACACAATCATGATATATGAAATATGAAAAGTGGAATAGAAAAGCAGCTAGAATTTGTATTAAATCCTCTTCTTATGTATTATTCCGCACGCTTTCCTTATTATTGGTATTACAATCTAATTGAAAATTAATCTGTAAAATACATATAAAGTTTCAAATTATGGGGACATCAAATTAAAGGATACATTGAAACATTTAACGTACGCGGTGATCAAAAGATGGAGGTAATGCAAGTACAAAATGTAGTACGAAAATAGTTCCAAGGGTTCAGGAATTTTCCGCCCAGAGAGTTTTAACAATACTTACATCTTTATGATGTATTGTCTTTCATGAAAAAAAGGAGAGGGAGAGGATTGCAAACAGCTAAAAATAACTTTAGCCTTTATGAATGTCTAACACTTCTTTTTAATTTTTTTAAGTTCCTTGGTTTCCAAGAAAGATCAGCGAGCTTGATCGATTTGCAAACCAGATCCTTAGTTATGGTTCGGAGCTTGACTCGGATCATCCGGTAGGTATCAGAAGACTATAATGCAATGCCCGGGAACCTCTGCCTTTACAGACTCACTGTACAGCTAGATCATTGCAACTAATATATTACCATGATATTTTTACGTTTGGTGCTTTGTCCTTTACGAGTTGAGAAATGAGAAATATGAGTTGTATCAACTGTACGCTCAATTTGAATGATATGGAAAAGATGTATTTTGCAGGGATTTACTGACAGTGTTTACAGAGCGAGGAGGAAAGAATTTGCTGACATAGCCTTCCATTACAAACAGTATGTACTATAGTTGTATAATTATGTGCAAAACCTATCTGAAAACATCATTGTCATAAATTTGTATACAACATACAATAGCCCCACTCAATCAAATCTGAAATATAGCAAACATTTAATCCTTTTTACATACAATGTACATAGTATCTTTATACGTTTATTATATTGTATACAGGACAATCGTTTCTAAGACTGACGTGTTAATCAAGATCTCTTACTCGCGTTTATTTTTCAGTGGAGAAGAGATACCACGAGTGACCTACACACCAGAGGAAATCCAAACCTGGTGAGAGATTTCAGTTTTTAAATATCGCGCATGTGTGTTTTTCCGCAAAAAGTTTGAATCCAGTTGTAAATGCCTCGTACATAAAATATTGTTATTTGCACGGCAATAATACAATCTAATAAAAGGTGATTTAAGGTATCATAAACGACACCCAGCACGTGATCTTTATGGCGTTATTATTGTGTGCGTAGCAACGGCAGCGGTTTACCGTTAAGACTATTTGCTTTTCTACACTGTGGTTTAGGAACAATTCATTTTAGTTCGAATCCGGCTTTAGTTGACAAAAGAAAGCAGCCTGCACAGGGAATGTAAATATACGCATTAAACTGCACATTTCGTGAACGTATCATATTGTACAAGCGGGCATTATTTGCATGCAAAGTTTTTTTTTTGTTTATTACTAGAAAAAAGCCGCAACAATATAATGTTTAAATGTTAAACAATTGTTGTAAAATCTTTTGGTGTATTCCATAATCTTCAGGACAGTTTTGATTATTTGAATATTTACAGTATAGTATATATGTATTATTGGCAACATTCAATGGATTTTGATACGAATTATCGAATGAGGACGGATTGTAAACACATGTTGCTTAGCCACATCGATCTGTACAACTTATGTTGCTTGGCATATCATATAACTTGAATCCGCCGCAATATGTACTTCGTTCTATTAGACAAAAGGCAATCAAAACACTTTTATCAAGCTCTTTAAGAAATCAGAATATATAGCAGAAAGCGTTTGAATATTACAACAGCAGTGAATATTAAAGAGATTTCACTTTTGAAGTAAAGTTCAAAAAGCTAGATTTTTGTATTCCTCTGATATTTCATGCTGTCAATTCGAGTGTAATACTGTATAATTTAATTTTACCTGTTTTACATCAATGCAGGTGAATATTGGGAAGTATTGATCTACCAGTTGTGAACTGCAAATATCGTGTTAAGTACAGATATGATCTATTTTGGAAACTTTGCTTAAATCTGTTTTAATAAATAGAGTTATCTATGTATGTACCTTTCCATGTATTTATTTGATGTTTACTTACCGCTTAAGCCGCCTTTTATAGCTTAGTTAATGTTTTGTACCACATGTTCTAGGTCGACAATGTATGACAAGTTGACAGCACTTTACCCTACACACGCCTGTCGGGAGTTTAACCATATATTCCCACTCCTGGAAGAGAACTGTGGCTATAGACGGGACAATATCCCACAGCTCGAAGACATTTCTAAATTTCTAAAAGGTTGCAATAATCTACAAAACATTTGATACCACTTTAGTTTCATTTGTAATAAAGCAACAATTAAGTTAAAATTGGCAAAAGTCAGTTTTCTTGACATTCTGATGTGAAAACTAATATTACCCTTACTATCCAGACGCTAACTGGTTTGATCAACTTATAAGTGCTTAGCAAAAATGCCAAAATGAGCTATGCCCAAATTATCAATCTCAGATTTTTTATGAGAATTATCTTAGTTGATTGTCTCCTTACAACGGTTTCGTTTTGATTCTTTTAAAATCTGGAAGACATTACGTCCAAGGGTAGGTATATAATGGTATAACAAATAAGTTTTCGTCGAATATATGGAAATGTCTTCTACTTCAGACTGTTCCGGCTTCAGCATAAGGCCCGTCGCTGGTCTGTTATCATCACGTGACTTCCTGGCTGGACTGGCATTCCGTGTATTCCATGCAACACAATATATTCGTCATAGCTCAAAACCTATGTACACACCAGAGCCGTAAGTTACTTGAAAGACACTTTCTTCATACAGATATCATACAATGGTGTCTTGTCAGCCATTTATTCGTTGACCGGAACAAGACAACCTCGTCGGTAACCGGTTTGATTAGGTAACACGTTACAGTAGTATATGACTTGTGAAATATTTTCGAAAATCATCATAGTTGTTAAGTATTTCTTCTACACATTCCTTATCTGAAAAATACGTCGATTTTTGATCAATTTTATTCAATTCTGAAATCAGCTAGTTACCTAATATTACGAGTTAATCTATGTATCCTGAATTTTCACATCACTGGGTGGAATATTTATTGATATTCCTAAGTAAATCATCAACAGGATACTTTAACAATGAACATTACCTGGCTTTAAACAGGTGTAGTAAATTCGTCTACTTTGTTTAAAAAAATTGTAACGAATTCTTATATCGCCCTTTTTTGTTGCTTCAGTGATGTGTGTCACGAGCTGATTGGCCACGTGCCTCTCCTAGCAGATCCTTCATTCGCTCGGTTCTCACAAGAGATTGGTCTGGCCAGCCTTGGGGCCCCTGACGAGTACATCCAGAAACTTGCAACGGTAGAATGCTTCAACGATATTGTATTGATTTCCGTAATACGTAGATTGACATTATTTTGAAAATACATGTTTATATTTCATTTACTGTAGTGATTATCTCAGAATTTTGGCATTTTGAAAAATGCACTGGGCATTATTTGTAATATTTCAATATTTTGATGTAATAGTCTCCTTGATTTAAAGTGATTCTAATGAGTTTAGCAATGATTGTAGTAATTAATGATTTGGTTTTAATTGACCTTGTGGTATTGACAGCATCATATTCACGATATTCCTTTTTTTATCTGTATTTGAAGCAGGACATGGCTTACACATTGATAAAACCTTGAATTAAACAGGATATTTATATTTTAACAGTGCTACTGGTTTACGGTAGAATTCGGACTGTGTCGCCAGGAGGGAGATCTTAGGGCGTTCGGAGCTGGACTTCTGTCATCATTCGGTGAACTTCAAGTAAGTGGTTGTTAAAGGTATTGCTATTAATTCAATACTCTAAGTTATGAAATTCCACTTCACGTTTGAAAATGTTAATTCTATTACTACGGTCAGCACCAGGGCTTGGAGCACTGGGAGATCGTGGTAGATATAGTAATTAAAAATTAAGATTAAAAGGAATTTTGAAATAACAAGATCATTTTTGTGTAAGTACATGGCAGAATTAATCAAAATTAATATGACCTATCTCTCCTGTCTAATATATACCATCTTTATAACGCGCATGTAATCAACTCCAATGTTGAAGAAAACGTAACTTTTTTATGTTGAATGTTCGGTTACCCAAATGTGTGATTGTGTGATTGTATATCTCGACGAGTGTACCGTTTTTGAACCAGACCCTTTATTAAATAGTATTGCCTATCGGACAAACCGGATCTGAAGGAGTTCGAACCTTCCAAGACTGCGGAACAAAAATATCCAATTACCGAGTTCCAGCCCGTGTACTTCATTGCTGACAGCTTTGAGAACGCTAAAGAAAAGATGAGGTCAGTGTTTATTTCCTAGTTTTGTTTAATTTGAAGTAACATTTCAGAATATACACATTTACTTGACATGTTTTTCTGAAATCATCAGATAGAATTATATTTATCTGGTGGTTTATGAATCTTATTCAAATATTGGACTAAGGAATCTTCCCATCTGCAATTTTTGACATTTCTTTCAATTACTTTGGATTTTTCTCAGTCGCCTCCTAAGTTTAACAAGTAGGCAGCACTGACGAGTCATAGAAGGACGACACAGCATTATGAATAACTTCGATTAATTGTTTGTACAATCTTGTCATTTCCGTCTCGATTGTCCTTTATGACGTTTCATTACGTTCTGAATGAAATAACTTATTAATGTCTGTTCTTAAACATTAAACTATCTATTCAACAATTTATACATATGCCTTTCTTGTCGTATACATGTTTCATAAATATACAAAGATCACTGGAGCGATCTAGTACTAAACATGGTTAGATTATAGGCAATGTTTCTATAATGTAAAATCAAGCGATGTCATGACATAATTAATGGAAAAATGGTAATATGTATAATTAGAACCTTTGGATTGTTTGTACAAAAGTTTTCTTCGTCATTATTAAACTTTGAGCTAGGTATTTTTATCACAGGTTTCCCCTTCATGTTTGATTAATCATGATTAATCAATGCTAAGCTACCACAAAATATGAACTAGTGAGAAATCTTTAAAATAAACCATGTGACTTGTTTCCAGAGCATACGCGGACACGATCCCACGACCATTCAGTGTGCGATACAATCCTTACACTCAGACTGTAGAGGTCATTGATAACAAAAACCAACTGCTCAACTTGACGCGGTCAATCAAAGGTATAGTAGTACAATAATCCTTCGATACAACAAAAGCCAAAAGTCCATAATTTCTTTTTTGTTAATGCTATTTATTTGTGTATCTGTTCATCCATTTTCACTGATAAAGACGGTCACGATTAACTTACGTTTTGGTTGTTTCCAGCATATTCAGTTATATGAGTGTACTTATCGCAAACTCTGTATTTATTTTTGTCATCTTAAATACCTGTCATTAAATGTTTAAAAAGTATTTCAACAAATATATTTGATATTTTGTGCATAAACCTGTATTATTCTTTTATTATATTAACTCCACTTTGTCTAGTTTTTCTATAATATGGCAAGGATATAACGATGCTTGTTTCCACTACTTATAGGCCGTCATGTAAGAATTTTTGTAATGTAACTATTTATTGACCGTTAAATTGATTTGTTCTAGATGTAGGATACGTTATTCAGTGTAGTTAAAAATACTGTTTATCGTTATGGGTCAAAGAATTGGAACAAAATCCTTGACATGAACCCGATCTGATAAAGTAACTGTTTGAATAGTTGTGTCGCGATAAATTGTAAGATAACCTGTATTCAAAGTCCCGGGACAAAATGTCAGAGTTTTCGAAGTACAAATGTTCACTTCTTTGTCTCCTCGAATAATCCGTCACTTGAAGTTTTATCATTCGGTAAATATTGCAGCTTTTGATAAACGGTGAATTGTTAGAAATACTTTATTCACTACCATTGGTATTACGTGAAAACAAAATTTATAAAACCAAATTATCGCGTGTTTTATGGGTCAAGTTAACTAGTTATTTCAATAAATGAGTATGTTGTTATTTAATGAGGTAATGCTTTAATGAGGTGATAGGATTAGGTGTTAGTCATTTTAGTGAATTCTGACCACGTGCTCAATGTATATATTACAGGTGATTTGAACCTTCTTGAAGATGCCTTGAAGAAAGTTGGGAAATTATGAACTATGAACAGTGAATGGTTTTCGAGGAACAAACACACAATAATGACTTCATTCCTAAGAAAAGACAGTGTAACGTTATTTTCAGTATTCACAAATGTCCACTGGAATATGTAATAACACATTTTAGAATGATTTCGTCAAGTATATTCTCATACCTTGTATGTATATTCATAAATGCATTTTCATAAATGTAAAGTTAGGTGTCCGACATCATCGCGATGGGTGTGATAATTTTTTTTGTACACGTTCGAGAATTTGTGCAAAAAAACGGAAATCAAACGTATACTTAAAGATTTCCTCTCATTTTTTTCATAATGTAGTATATTGTTGTGTTACTGGAGAGAGGGGGCGGGGGAAGTCTAGATGTTACCTAATAAAGTTTAGCATGACAACATATATAAATATCTCTATTTACACAATTAAGGATTATCTTGTCTTCAATTCATTTTTCTCTGTCAGTATTATAAAAGAACGCTAGTTCGTTGTCACAGATGCAAGATCCTGACGTCATTTATTTTCTAGTCAAATTTGGATAGTATTATTATTATTATTACCGGTTGTTGCTGAAGTTGTATGCTTAAGATTACATGCCATATTTTCGAAATTGAGAGTTAAGGTCAATCGCAAATAGAGGATTAGTTTTTGAGTATTCAAATAGCAGGTGATAAACTGGAACATTTTGTTGGGTGAAGTGAAATGCTAATGAACAAAGTAGAATAGAATATGTTTTCTTGATCAATTTATTAAAATAAATGAAAAATGCGGAAGAATATAGCATCGTATTCTAGGAAGCAGAAAGTAATAATTTTGTAAACATTTTAAACAAAGTGCTAAACATATTTCAGGAAAGCCTAAAGCCTAAGATTATGTACACTTTAACTAGTTATTTCAGAAATTCTGTCTGCATTAAGCATGAAACAAAATTGTATATTTTGTACATATGTGGAGATATATTAGTTTTCTTTGAATTGAAGCGCTGTTAATATTGACATATAGTTTAATTGTTATACTGTTGTTAAACAACATACTTTATATATCTACTTACGTTGAACACACAGATATGATTTTGATGTGTACTTATGTGTATAAGATATGAAATCACTGAAATCATGTTGTTGTATAGCTTTAACAAATATAGTTTTTCTTTGCTTACAATATAAATTTTGGTTTCAAATTTCATTTTAAAGTCATTCAATACACCGAGCAAATCATTTGATGAAATCGTCTTAAAGAAACTTAAAGTCGCATAATATTTTAAATACATATTGTCATTGGGGCGTCTTACTGTTGGATGCTGAAATTATTTAGTGTAAATATTTGTCACACAAAGAAAGACAAAGTTTTGACATTTTGTCCAGTTTGGTAATTATTGACAATACACTTTTCCACAAGATACGGATCATGGCAGTGTCATCTGAAGTAAGGATCGATTCTCATCAAAACAAAAGTTTTGACGTGTATATAGGGAAAAATGTTGGTCTGACTAAGTACCTATTCGCATTTGTAAACTTCTTGCATATTAAGTTTAGAAATTTTTAGTTATCCGATTAGAGGATATTGCTATAATGTATCAGCTAGTATATTAATCATGTTTTTTTCATATACATAAACGGTGTTTGTATATATTTGATTTCTTCAATGGTTTTTTAATTAAGTATAACACACTTGTGGGATTTCCATTTTAAAATAAAGAGTAAAATGCATGGAGTGCTTAAGTCATATTCTTTTATTTCACTTTATCCACCTCCTTTGTAGCCTGATTTAATCTCAGGAGACTTGTGTGTTCAGAGAAGTTCACATGATTGCTAAGTATAAACATGAACATATACCATGAAGATTTAAAGTGTAAACATAAATATAGACCATGCATGTTTGCAGTATAAATATAGACTAAATATAGATTGCTAAGTATAAACATGAACATATACCATGAAGATTTAAAGTGTAAACATAAATATAGACCATGCATGTTTTCAGTATAAATAAAGACCATGCAGGTTTTCAGTATAAATAAAGACCATGCAGGTTTTTAGTATAAATATAGACTATGCATGTTTTCAGTATAAATATAGACCATGCGGGTTTTAGGTTTTTGAGATACTTTGTTTGTGATACGAACGAGTTACTTCCCTTGACACCTCAAATCAAGTACTAGCATGACACATTGATAAGGTTGTGTGTCTCACTAATTTTCGACCGAATTCGGGTACTTTTAAATGATATTACTAGTAACTATACATCGCATTCTGTAGATTTACACGAAACGATTTGAGGTCATCAGTAAAATAATCTCTATGAAACCAACATAGTTTATCAATTCAAATATACTCTAAACATTTTGATAATGTATAGACAATGTCAATTAAGTTTCAGTATAATAGCAAATAAAAAATGACATCAATGTGTTAACGCTAATTATATATTGACAGATTGACAGAAGCGATTTTATGCATTTCTAATAATATCTTTAATATTATTGGGAATTTTACTGACCTACTTTTATGATAAAAAGAAAATAAATGCGTTTTGTGGTTGAACCCGACATGGGAGACATGCAGCTTTAGATGAGTCTGTTCCATGAGTCGATAGATCAGAGTTAAATTGAAAAGACCGTATCACTACAAGGTGGATACTAAATGTAGATCGCTGAAAAGCAAAACATGGATTCAATCTTGAAGTTCCCATCACTATTGAATTACTTTTATGAATTTTAAAAGTTTAGCAAATATGGAGAAAGTGATATAGAGACCAGGTGGATCGTGTTTTGGAAAGAGAAATAAACAAGACGTAACTTTCTCCATGGTTATATATATGATCAATATAATTATTTTCCGTAAAGTAACCATAACAATTTCCATCGTTTTAATGAATCATGCATACTAAGTTACCTTGAACTCTATATACTGGGTTGCATCAACAATTTTGAGGCATTGACCTTCTGTGGTTTTATCCAATGGAAATATTGATATAGATTAAAAAACGGCTTTTGAATGATACATTATTTCATTACCCGCATCACGTAAAATATCTTGCGTCAAAATCGCAGGCAAAACAGTCAAGGGAAAGATCGATGGGCAAATGAACAACACCTGGTCCCGTATTCATAAAAGCGTTCTCATGCTCAAGCATGGATTTTGTGTTCAAGCCTCATGCCTTGTTTAAGCTTAATATTAACAAATAAGGCTGATTTTGCCGAAGATTTAAAACAATTTGAAAGAACTTCAAGTCAAAGTTATATTCAATGTTTATATTTGACATTTGTATTATTTTATATGATTTAGGTGAATAATAAAAAAGTTTGCTTGAGCACAAAATCTATGCTTGAGCATGAGAATGGTTTCATGAATATGAGCCCTGGTTAAAAACGTTATGATTCAACACTGCATGTGTTAAAAAATAGACCAGAGACGACTGCCCTGTCTTATTCGCAGTTATTAAAATAATGAGATATTAATTTCTCTATTTCAGATGTTAATGTATTTACAGGTCTAAGATGAAGAAATCTCTCTTAATTTGAATTTTTATTTAAAAAAATATGCTTCCCTAATCACTTCTGCGTTTTGCAAATCCTATACAAATGTAGGATGCTTTAAGAATCATAGATGGAGTTGGGCATGCATTCTTCAACAGCAAAATCTTCATTATGACAAGATAAAAGTTGTATGCAGTATCGGACTTTGCAGAGAACAAAGTGTCTTTGAATTTCAAGATGTTGACGACTACATGCTTTTCAAACATATATCTAATCGGTACTCACATAGGAAGTCCTGTATGTACACATATTTTTAAGGAAAGTTCTAATTTCATAACGGTACTTTTACTGCTCCTCGCTTGTTTACCTTACTTTGCGTCCTTGTACACATAGGAAGTCCTGTATGTACACATATTTTAAAGGAAAGTTCTGGGATTCCAAACAGGCAAACAGTTTCATAACGAAGGTAACTTTTACTGCTCCTTGCTTGTTTACCTTACTTTGCGTCCTTGAACATCCCATGGATACTGCTGGTGGACTCTAAGTCCCCGGGCTTTGCCGAAACTGCGTGTCACGTTTTGCTTCATTCGAATAGTGGCACGGTTCAGAATATACACATGTATTTTACGTTGTTCTAAAATTATTTAATATATGAAAAGTGCACCTCCTCGTCTAAATTTTGAATTTTCTTTCGATTACTTAAGATTTTCCTCAGTCACCTCCTAGGCTTCAACATTTAGGCTCTTAGCAAAACTGACGAGTCCAAGTAGGACGAAACAGAGGTATTATGTATGATGATTAATTCATTGTTTAACGCTACTTAATCTTATCTAAATTCTATTACATTGTGCTGTTCACCTGTGTACAATCTTTAAAATCGTGCCGTATTCTTTTTAGAGAATTCACCTATTACTCTTGTTGAATATAGGATGGAGCGAAACCGTGTTTCAGAACGTTTATTGTTTTCTGTCATCGTCATGTCATCTACAGGTGTGTTAGCATTATCACGTGATCAGTTAGGTAACAGACAATAGTAGATTGTTTAGGATTGTTATCGACCAATCAACCACTCCCCTGTTCGTGCCTTATAGAAGCCTTTATGGGGATGCACTGTAGCCAGATTTTATTGTATGTTTGACAACGAAACATGGATGGTGGAATTAACCCTGGACCAGTGGAAAGAAACGACAGCGGTACATTGGTAAGTAAGTCTATGTAAGACAATGTCCCGACTAAACCTCAAAATTCTTTAACATGATTTTTTCCCATTGGAAAAGCGTAATTTGTTTTAGTTTAAAAGTTTCTTTAAAACTCTATATAGTTATTGTGGAAAACATTGAGTAAACGAAAAAAAATCAACCCTGCTCAGATATTGTTTGATAGACAAAAATACTGCATTTTCCACATATTTAAAGTTTCAAATATATCAAAGACAAATCGATACTTTTTAAAAATCTATATCTAACCTGCGTATAATATTTATATTCTCAAAATTCATAACAGACATTTTTGATAGGATCTTTATATAACTTGGTGTCTATTCAAAAACTATTCCTACAACTGAGTATAATCCCGTGATAACCTTTCCTACCAACATTTATGATTCCCTGTAGGAAGACGGTGATCTTAGTACTTCTCTTGACTCCATACCTACGGACGATAATAAAAACAGTGTTAGCCTTCTCTTCTCTACAAAGGATGAGGTTGGAGCACTGGCTGACTGTTTCCAAGTCTTCAAGGTACAATACCTAAACGATAACCACCCTAAAACAGAGTCAAAAGTCTTAGGCCGAGGTAAAGTTAGAAGGTTAGGTAGAGGTAAATGATTTACAGCTCCAAAAGTATTGATAGAAAGTGTCAATATCCGTAGACTAAGGTAGCATTTATATATCCAATAGTCTTCATTCACTGCAATGTCGAGGTAAAATGTCAGGTTTTCAGTCGTCTCTTTGGAGGTCTTAACTGTTGAAACAATTGTATTACATGTATGGTAATTATGAAATCAATGTTTTAACTATCACGCCAAAGTAGTTTTGTCCCATGTCTGGATCAAAGCAAAGGATAAGTAGATAAGAAATCAGTGCGTCATAGTCTATGTCAATCACGTAACCTATAAAAGTATATAAATATATGAGGCATATTTGAAGTGTCAAGAAACAACATGTCAAGATAATCACAATCTAAACCTAAACTCAGTAAAACTAAGACAAAATAAAGGTTCCGAAATAAGTCAAAAGAAGAATAAGACTAGGTGTTCCGAAAGAGTAAGCTTCTTCTACTTCAGAATATGTCTCGGTGGAAAAACTATGATGACTATAAAGTTTTCATCAACCTGCTTCTTTCGAAACCCTGTGTTACGAGTCTGTACGTCGACGACTTCTTACATTAAAATCATAAAAATAGGAACAGGCCTTTGAATACCGATTCAACTGCTATATGAAAATACGATAGGTTGGGGACGCAGAGATTTTACTGTCCTGAAATGGGAAATTCACAATAGCAAAATTGAGGTCATCACTCTTATCATACAGCTTGATGGGAAGCGGTCCATGTTGGTTTCGTTGAACGAAACAATTCGAGAAAAGCAGCTCATGTAAAAGATTCTGTCGTGTTTCCAATTTTGGTGGGTATATACAATTGAAGATGAAAATGCATGAAAGCATTTCGTCCTAAACATGTTTAATAATTACATTGTTACAGAAACACAAGGTAAATCTCTCTCATATCGAATATAGTCAGTGCAAGAATGGAAAAGGCAATTATGACTTCTTTATGAACTGTGAATCTCGTCACAGTACAACATTTGAGACAATGATGGACGAACTTCGCACTTTTACAACAAAGTTAAAAATCATAACTGACGACAGCGCTGAAGGGAAACCAGGACCAGGTATGCATATTGTAAATACACAGGACACATTAAGATACTTAAATCCGATTTCAAAGACAGCGATAATTGTATATCAGTCATTTAGTTTAAAAGGAAATTAATTCCATAACTAAGATTTCATGTTCAACTGTTTTTCAATTGGAATAGTTCCATGGTTTCCAAGAAAGCTCAGCGAGTTGGACAAATTTGCAACAAAGATCCTTAGCTACGGCTCAGAGTTGAACTCAGATCATCCGGTAGGTCAAGGAAGTTTTATACCTCGATGATGAAATAAAGCACTTTTTTCTAGAGTTAATTTGGTATTTACATCTATATTGATATATTGCATAGTTTGCCTCAAACTTCCTGAAATGCAAACAAAGTTACGATAGTTTTATCATGTTCGTCCGTTCGATGAGATGTATGTACTATGTAAGCGCACGAACACTACTAGGTATTTCTTCTTGGTTTGCAGGGATTTACCGACAGTGTTTACAGAGTGAGGAGGAAAGAATTTGCTGACATAGCCTTTAATTACAAACAGTAAATATATAAAGAATACATTTCTGTACCTATAGTTGTGCAGGCGATAATCTGACTTAGTCCTGGTAAAAAGTAATATATATATATAATAAATACACAGTCAATGGTAATACATTTTATATTGATATAATGATAAACAGCAGATACTTAATTACTGGTGTACCAATCAAATTTAAATGAGCATTTGTATTTCAGTGGAGACGTTATACCGCGAGTCACATATACACCAGAGGAAATTCAAACATGGTAGGTGCTACATTTATGATATAGTGTAATGTTTTAAAGTGAATTTGAAAATCGAACTTTCGTTTCTATAACCTTGCAGTCGACCTTGGAATACGGAATCAACTAGAGCAAAACCAGATGAATAATTTAAAAGTAAGACTTGGTGCATGTTGGTGTCATTTCACGCTACGTTGAGGGGTTTTTAAAGCCATATTACATGAATGAAGCAAAAATTACATATAATATCTATCGGCAGTTAGCAAATATCAAAGTGTAGTTCTATTTCTGACTTAATAATCTTTTATAGCGCCAACAGCGCGCTTTGATGTGTTTCCTCATTATGTGAACATTAGTATATCATAGCTTACGTATAGCCCTTAGAATGAATTCCATTTGTAATTAGACAACTGATTGCGTTGTTGTTTTAACTTTGTCCTGGAATTAGCACGACACTATTTCTATTGGTAGAACATTAGTTTTAAAGTATGTCATACAACTTTTGATAACGAAAAATATTACCAGATACAGTTGATGATATCGTATTAGCAGGGCACGTGTTATTTTACCTCCTCGTTCCCCCTAATCGCTGGTTATGAGACAGCGGTTGGTTCTGGCTTCATGCCAAATATTTAACCAAGGCGGATTTTGACCAGATGTTACTGTATTGTCTCGTGAGTGTAATGTTAGATAATTAAAAGGCAAAATGCGGGCTACAAAATGATAAATCATTCCAACACTAACTGATGTGATTATGAAAAGTTTTACAGGTCATAGTCTTAATTTGCGACGATTTTTAAAACTCACAATAAATTGATGACTCTATTGAAAGGGTAGGTTCTCGCTTGATAATTAGAACGTTAATCATCCCGGCTATAGTTTTCGGCAAGGAAATATACGATAAAGTTTGCAGAAGCTATTCCCTTACAATAACATTTTTAAAAACCCTTCTAGTCTTGCAATTTTAAGTTTTTTCATTCCTCATAAATGTTGATTCGATTCCATTCGATTCTATATTTACAAAGGAAGTAATTAATGAAAAAATCAATATATTTTTTCTTCTGGTAATGGGATATTACTTATATGGATTATGTCATCGATGATGAAGAAGACTTTTGCCCTTCCGAAATGCATGGTCTTATTGTAGTTGTACTTTTAAGGGGTAGATGTTTAAATCTTTCTTTAGCTCATGTTTTGTCCGAATGTTATCGTATTTGAGTATTGATAAACATTCTGATGACATATAGGTATTTTCTTCGTTGTTTTTGCGCTTGAAGCATTTAAATACGAACGAGATTCCAGAATAATGTCAACTATATCATCAACGTAGATCTGTTTAATTCCTGGTAATGTTTAATCTATCTTATCGAGTTATGAATGAGAAAAGTATAATATAAAGCGTTTTACATCTCTAATCTGTGTCTAAGGACAACGATATATGACAAGCTGACATCACTGTATCCAACACATGCTTGTCGGGAGTTTAACCATATATTCCAACTTCTGAAAGAGAAATGCGGCTACCGAAGAGACAACATCCCTCAGCTTGAGGACGTCTCAAAGTTTCTGCAAGGTAACGTGCAATATCTGTCACATGCTAACCTTCACTTTCTTATCAATGTGCACCAAGTCCCTTACAAGACCGGGATAAATGTTAAATGTATAATTAAAACAGGTCTCTTATCCTAGAATTTGGAAGATATATTTATTTATATGCGATATTCTAAAAGGACTCGCATCCTTTGAGATTAGCTTTTTGTCGTGGCAATGTTAAAAGCATTGGGAAATAAAATCTTCATGAATCATTATTTAATCAATGTATAAATGGTATCATGTTTAAATTCCTTCAAGAAGGTTAGGAGAGCCAGTTAACGTTTGCACTATGTTCGGTATTTTATCTAATATTTAGGATAACGAACACGCTGTCCGACTTCATATCTTCTGAATCATATTGTTTAATTCCCCCCCCTTTTTTTTACCAAATTGCCAAAATGTTTTATTGTTTCAGACCGGTCCGGTTTCAGAATTCGTCCCGTTGCTGGCCTTTTGTCACCACGTGATTTTCTATCAGGACTGGCAAACCGTGTGATCCATGCCACGCAATACATTCGACATAGCTCGAAACCTATGTACACCCCTGAACCGTAGGTGCCTTCGAAAGACAATATATTATACAAGTTTACGTCAGTTTGCCATATACACTCGTCTCAACTGTAATTGATGATATAAAAATTGTCATTTCTCTAGGTATTGATTAGGTGTCATTGACGATATGAAGATGTTTGGTTAAGAACTCTCTCATCATCAACCGAATCGAAAAAGAAATTTTTGTAAAAGATATTTCCATATTTCCTAGAATGCTAGGAACTCTTTTGATCATGAAGCGCGTGATATGTTGTGTATAATTACCAACATACTCTGCAATTCAAACAGATAAACTCTTCTTTCAGTATTCTGTATTGGAACCTATATATCACCAATTACATGAGCTATATATTAACAATGCGTGCCTGTACTTGACAGTTTGATATCGCTTTCATAGCTAATAAGCTTATGTCTTATTTGATTTTAAGATTAAATACGCAATATGAATGGTTAATAAAACACTAATGAAAGTGTTAAATCTCTCATTAATTAGAAAAAAATATTTCAATTATTTCATTTCAGGTGTCTTACATATCTCTATTAATGGATTATGTTTGAAAAAAGTTTTCCTTTTCAACCAATTATACCTGTTTTCTAGGTGTTATCGCCAGTATGGAACAAGCGTAAGTCTGTATGAAATATCGCCAGACTATTGCCATAACACGGACAGAACTCTCGAAATAATTCCCTTTCACTACAAGAGCATTAAAAACCTGTCTATCAGATAGCAAGATCAATATGATAGTATTCCTCATTTCCAACGTATGTACTGGGTACCTAAAATATGTGATCACTTATCCTGATTTCGTCCCTATTTTTCCAGGGATGTTTGTCACGAGCTCATTGGTCACGTGCCTCTCCTGGCAGATCCTTCATTTGCGCGGTTCTCTCAGGAGATCGGTATGGCAAGTTTGGGCGCCCCTGAAGAATACATCAAGAAACTCAGTACGGTAAGGCGATGTCGTAACATTAACTCTGTAGAGGACTTGCCAAAAAGATAGCATAAATCGTTGATTACACTAAATATCCGCATAACGATTTAGCTCTATCACAATGGAACTCCGACTACTTCTTCGTTTTCCGATATAAAAGTTGGTTGCGTAGTATTATTCTGGGAGAAAAGATGCAATGATGAATCATTTTACAGCATTGCTGTATATGTCTATTGATCAAAGGTAAAACATCTGTTTTATATGTCCGTGGAAAATACCTGTATAACGTAGACAGATTAAAAGCGCACGATCTGACAACACACTCCCGCGAGCATCATTTTCTCATAGCTTACTATAGACACTATACCAGATATTTTGTAAAAATGGTTTGTCTGTTGGAGTTCGTTAGTACACTAACAAGTGATGTTCATAAGGGGTCATGGTGCCTTTTAACCAGTAGTCTAATATTGAAACCATGGTTGTGACTGCTTCAGCCAGATCGGTACCCCGTTCCTTCCAAGACACTAATCACAAGTTACTGCTGCACAATCCGGGCTAATGGACACATTCGAGAGTAGTTCATTATAAATAGCTTAATTAAATTCATTGATAATTAAAGTGAAATTTTAAAATGCCTGATTTTAGAATATCTGTATCTAGTTATTAAATCATGTTTTGAGAGCTATATTTTGTTGCATGGTGACGAATGAAACGGGGAGGCAGCTTTACTTTATGTGTGCAGATATATACAATAATTGAAACAATGTTACCAAGCAACACTTCACTGTATTATCAGGTTTACTGAGAGTGCATTCGAGTGGCGGTTTTGTTTCAAATGGGCCATGTAAATATAAGGATTTATTGTCTATTATGTTGCGTACACTGAAGAATGTATGTTCATTGGTCACTTCCCTTCAACAGTCCGCGCAAACAACGAAATAGAATTGTAAGTATAAGCGCGTGAACTTTTTTCATCGTTATTTGTTTGGAAGCATGAAAAATGTCATCAGTGTGATTTTAAATGTTTACGGACAATAGCAAAATAGTCAGTTAAAGAAATTCTTCATCGATGATTTGAAAAGTGTGTGATATGAAGTTGGAAGCGTGTGATGTTCGTTAGTGGGTCTGGTTGTACCGTAATGGTTAACCTTGTCCTCATTTGAGAACGTGACATTACTTAATTGGATTAACCTTAGATTTACATGGCGTGGTCGCCGATACCACAGAAAGCGTTTAGCACTCTGAAATATCTTGTCTCATCCTTCTTGTACATTTGTAGAAGTATTCGTGTTGATATTAGTGTTTTTCATATTTTGCACTCGATTCATCGAATTTGAGTTAGAATTCAGTTCTTGTTGACATGACAATATCTTCTCCATTGTTTTAAATGGTTTGAACACGTGTTTGTAACAGTTATGAATTGTTATTTACTCACAATTGTAAACAGTACATTCTTTAAGCAATGACTAATAACATTTGTAGCATCCTTTGTTTGATAATTGAAGTACATATCTATACAACACAGTTGTGCCCATGCTTTGTGAGACCGTTTGCATAGTTTCCAGGTTCATCTTTATATTTAGTTTTAAATTATTTCTAAGGTTGTTCAAATCACGATAAATATCTAGAATAGAATGTTTGTATGTCAACAGTGCTACTGGTTTACGGTTGAATTCGGACTGTGTCGCCAGGATGGAGAGATAAAGGCTTTCGGAGCTGGTCTTCTATCATCCTTTGGTGAACTTCAGGTTTGATATAAAATATTAACTATTGGAAGAATCACAAAAGCATTACTGTTCAGAAGTAGGTAATGTATGTTGATATGTAGCACTGCACCCTCTTCGTAGTGTCCTTAGAGTTCTTTGACATTGCATTTCAACTGCACTACCATTTAGCTACTAAGTAACGTCTACCACATTGTTTACTAACATCTAAAGCATCATTATGATTATTTTGTTAATTTCGTGAGAATGCTTGATTAACGAATTCACATGTCCTCGAATCGATAAACTGCCAAAACATTGGCATGTTTATGTATTCCTCGGCTACGATTTAAAAGATTTTTAAAAAAGATGACATTTGAGTTACACAATAATGCATGTTTCTTAAAGTGATCTTAGTTCCTTGTCTTTTCGTAGTATTGTTTGTCGGATAAGGCAGTTGTGAAGGAATTCGAGCCTTCCAAGACTGCGGAACAAGAATATCCTTTATCCGAGTTTCAGCCCGTGTACTTTGTATCGGCCAGCTTTGAGGAAGCAAAAGACAAGATAAGGTAATTTTTTATGAGTTATCCGCTCTTGTTTTAATGTCGGTCTAGGTTGCCTGTTTTGCTGTTGTATCAATTGATGAATGACATTTCGTATTGTTTAGTTTTAGTTTTTGATTAACGTGAGAAAAGTTTCCGGAAATAAATCACACGCCATTGCTAAGTAGTGTTAAATGATTACGACAGTAGAACATTATGACATCATTGATGTTATGACGACTATGACAATCATTTGATATTCGAGTGACAATTCCTCCCCATATTGTATGGCTGTGACGATATTAATAAATTAATCACATGACTTGTTTACACTTTCAGAGCATACGCGGACACGATCCCCCGGCCATTCAGTGTTATGTACAACCCCTACATCCAGTCTGTGGAACTCATCAACACTCACAGTCAGCTCCTGAACTTAACACGGGCGATGAAAGGTAATGACAAATGAATGGTAATTTATTCGTCGAGGTAGTCTTGAGAACATTCAAACTTAAAAGTTAATACCTTGTCGATAGTAATTAAGGCTTCAGACAATGTCGACTAAGACAATATATGATATAGTATAACATATGATATATTATAATATATTATACAATGTATAATAAACATGAAAATTAATTTACGCTCATATATTTTTTCTAAGCTCAACTATGTTAAGTTAAATAAGTTTTTAGTATATTATGTGTGAAAAGCTTGACGTGATGTTCAGTTAAAACAATGTTTACCAATAAGTTGGCAGGTGTTGATAAAATATAATCTAGATAAATCCTTAAAATTGTGAACATTGATGTTTCTTACTTGAATTTTTTTAAGTGGCCCTCAAATTACTTTGTGATTTTGAAACAGCAAGAAAATATTGAATCAAATTAAATTGAACATGATTTCTGATACTCGTTTATGAACATTGATACCTAAAATGATTCGCTACACAGGTTCCACGTGTTTTTTTTTTACTTTTATAGTTTTTCTTCGATCACGTCAGAACTGACTATTTGACTTTGGTTTAAAAGAAAAAATATTGGACGTATGCAAAGACCACCGTGGAACATAAGTCATTACAAACACCCATTATAATTGTTATAGTAACCAATATTCATGAACTTTGAATATCTATTGTATATGTGAGTAATTCGGCGTTTTCAAAGTTACATTTTCATCGCAATACTTTCAGCGTGAAAATCGCTAGATTATGTTACCGCTGTGAATGTTGGCGGTACCCTCTGTATGTGTTACAGGTGATATGAATCTTCTCGAGGATGCGCTGAAGAAAGTTGGGAAATCTCGAACTGTTAACAGTGAGTGATTTATGTGAAACCATGAAAATGATGGCAGTACAGGACACGCTTCCTATAAATAGACAATGTTACGTTTTTATATAAGTGTGTTGTGGAAAATGTGTTCTTGTATTTAAGTGTACATTTCAGAGAGAACACATATATACTTCAAATGTATAGATATACCAATACTACATAGTCTCAAGGTTTAACAGACATTAAAGTTAACAGATGTTTTATGTACATACAACGTGTGTAGAATTACGTTGGTTCCATTTACTAATTGTAGAGAATTTCTAATGCTTGTTTAAGATTGTGAACGAAAATTCCACCGTAGTATTGTTGTATTTACTTATCTTTCTATCATTGATTTATGACAGCTGAGTGGAAGGAATGTTTAAGATTCCTATTTGCCTTATTCATGCCTTAAATATAAATATGATTTTTTGTCCTCGTTAATAAAGGATAACTTCATATTACCGTTACTGTATATCGTAATACCATTGTTTATTTTCACGTATAAACTGTCACATATACAAACAGATTATCTACTAATTTTACTGTATGCTTTTGTAGAATTTGTATCATTTTTGTGGAGTTATTATTTGCAAATAAATAAAATGGGCGCTGATATATTTGTGTAATGGAGTTCTTGTTTCATTTCATGAAATTAATTCCAAAGCAAGGCCCATGTCCAGAGAGGGCGACGATGCTAAACGAGTTGCTCCCCTTTATACTCCAGATGAATACCATATTTTTGAAGTGGATCAGTGACGTTCCTATGTTGACAGATTTTTCGCTTTCGTGATACAAGTGAAAAATGACTAGAATTTACCCTGATAGTACTAGAAATATTAGAATTATTTTTATTTAAATCTTTTGTTTTGTCAGTTGACTTTCATTAACAGCCATGTAAATTAATTATTTAACGTCGTGTCAAAAATTAGAACAAAATTTAACATCAGGATTTCACGATGAATTCATAAAAACTTCTGTGTAGTTGTCATATTCGTAGCGGATTGAAGTTCGCTACATTCAGGATATCATTTAATAACCAGCAAATATTTAACATAAATCAAAATACAAAGGAAACCGATGTTATATACCCGTGTAAAGATACCAATATATAGACACGCGCGAAATTTGATCACTATGAAATGGCCCAACCTGGAACGACCGCGAAATATAAGCCTCGCGAAATTTAACAACCATACAGTATTCATTAATATGGTGTAATTCCTCCATGTTACTTTTCATTGCCTTCTTTACTTGCATTTTATACGTCATACTCCAGAGTCTGTTGTGAATATCAAAACGTACTATTTATCCCTGGTTTCTACTGGTGTGGCAGGTACTTTTAGTCATTACCCGGGTATCAATTTATGAACATTCACTAATCGCTTTCTACTCTGCACTTGCAATAGCTAGCTGATAACGCCATCACCCATTTGCTTTTCATGCCTGCAAAGGATGCTAGTGGAAATATTAGTTTTCTCGACTTTTCAGTCATGCAAGCGAAGCCAGTGAAGATACCCGTTTTCTCGACATTTCCGACATACAAGCGAAGCCACCAGAAACACACATCTTCTCGACTTTTCAGACATGCAAGCGAAGCCACAGGAAACACACATCTTCTCGACTTTTCAGACATGCAAGCGAAGCCAGTGAAGATACCCGTTTTTTCGACCTTTCCGACATGCAGACGGTGCTAGTGGAAACACCAGTTTTCTCGACATTTTATGAACTTTCTAGTTGTTTTGCCGTGATGTACTATCAGTTGCTGGCTACTTCTTTTTCGTTTCGTATTTGAAAAATGATTTATTTGAATGTTTAAACTGTGGTACAGTTTTACTTTGAAACCTTACAGACACAGGATGCAGTAGCGAGCTCCACTCATAATATGCACGACGGAGAATATATGTCTACAACGGAAGCTTTGTTTATGGTACACTTTTAAACAAGAAACAAAAGTGAATACCACCAATTTATATAAATTCAGAATTAGATATATTAGAATGGTATATTATGCTTCATCACACGTGTGTTTCGTTCTTCTAGGATCCCAGACCTAAAATTTGTTACCTGGAAGGCAACTGCGGAAAAACAAAATTGATGAAAAAATGGGATAGCATGATGGGGGAGGTCACTAACCCAAACTTTTAACATAGTTTGAAATTTGAAATATTGTATAATTCTAAAGACCGTCGAGTAAATGTGTATATCCTGAACAATGGCACTATGGGAGTAATTGAAGCGTGTAAACTGAGATGTTGACAGAGAAATGTCTTTTATCCACACATGACCATATATGGTCTGCTGATATGCAAACATCCACCACCTGGGTACCAACAAACAAAACTGATGTTTCATGCAGATGGAATATATTTAACATATTGGAAGATGATGTTTTATATTAGAACTTTTTCCAGTAGACGAGAGGGGTCTGGCTATGTCTCTTGATATGAATTTATTTGTGTCGTCTTAATAAGTTTCGAGAATTTAAGTAAACTTTGACGAAATTTTGATAGATGACCTTGAGGGAATTTTATATATGGGTCTGTTAGTAGTGTATTTATTTCTCTATTGATACATAATTCGATCGTATCAAGCGTTTGATGAAGCAGAACATGGGCTGAATTTCAACCCTTTCATGGGTTGCCGAGATGTATAGGGAAAAATTCTGACACGGACAAAATGTATTGTAGAAAGTCTAAAATCCTTCGGACTAATTTTCAAGTAGTGTGATTTTTGAGTATTTTGTATATATTTTGGGTACAGAATTTCTCACTTGTAGTACATACAAATCCATGGCTTCAAGAATTCGCAATCATTCCTGATATTAGTAATACAGTAAGTAAATTACTTCCTCGTTTGATACCGTTGTGCTTTCCTTGATTATTGGATTCAGAGGAACAATTTTCAACGATCTAGTATGAAACACGCATCGTCACGATTTTTTAAAAGTCTTGACGATCGAAATACGTTGTTCGTTCGAGATATTTGTGTTTGGCACGATTGATTTTGACAGAAAATATTTTGTCGCTTTGGACCCATACAGTTCTGTCGGGAATACAGACCTTTCACAATAACATGTGCTGACATTTCATTAAAGTAGCAATGCATCCCTTCACACGGCAGATATTTCATGGTCCTGATTATCACGATGTTGTCCGAGTAAGGTTTTGTTTGATTAAACTACGACACACCAACTCCCACAGAGTAATATACATTTAATTAAACGAATACCGGTATTGTATAAACACATAAATGTCCTCGCTAGGAAATCGTTACCCTAACACTTAACGTAGACTGGTAGTATGTTAATCAAGTATTTATGTTAACTTTTACTTAATGGAGAAAACCCACAATATTAGAATGGTTTCTGTGTTCTATGCGGAATTTCCGGAAGCCATCGACCACCATTGTGGAATGTTGTGCAGATGGCGCCGAAAGTGCTTCAGTCATCCGAATGGCTGTTTTATCCAATGGAAAACTAATAGGGTAAGGTTATTGAAGCATTTTATTTTCTTCAATCGACAAGTGGGATTAATAAGAACAAAATATCCTGGGAGAAGGATTTGGACCGGGCGGGGTACATTAGGGAGATGTGGATCTGTTACAAAATCCAGGTTTACAGGGAGGAAATCCATGAGAACTGTAAGAAATATTTCTGAAGAATCAGTATAGTTACGAGATGGAGTGGGTTTCTAGGCTATGGATCTGGAGATAAAATAATGATAATACTTAAAAAAAAATGAAATATTGAATATCAACATGCTGGGTATCAATAGCGACGTGGTGGGGGGAAAGAACTGCCCTTAGTACGCCTATTGAAGAAGGAAAGTGAGGAATTCTGTGTGTATGATTGACGCATTTCGCTGAAGTGTGCGTGGGTGTCTATTAAAAGAGCTTAGGAATAAAAATATCGACGTTTGGAATAGCTTATTTGATTATCGCACATATTAAACAGTGGTTCAAACCTACTTATGATATCAAAGATTTCCTAAAGTTACAACTGCTTTCAACAAAAGATTTACAAAAGGAGTGTCAACATGTCGAACAACGTCCCTTCCACTACACAAATGCTCCATATCTTTCGATACAGGAACGAAACTATATTACACTGGAATTGCATCAGTTCAGTTAGGTTCAATATGCCATCTACAAAGAACAATGAACACAAAGACATTCAGATAAGCAAACAGAAAATGAAACATGAAGACTAAAACTCCAGTGAAATATACCACAACCGTATATCAACACGGCTTTCGACAACCAGAAATTTGTACAAAAGACACAAAAGTGAATCGCACCTTTTAATTCAAATTACGGGTTAGACACAGGACTTCTAGGAATCGTCAGTGATGCTAGGGGTCTAAATTTTGAAGTCTTGGAGGAGATCATAGGAAATATAAAGTAATCGAAAAAAACATATCCACACATGGCACACCCACACATGACACACCCACACATGACACACCCACACATGACACACCCACACATGACACACCCACACATGACACACCCACACATGGCACACCCACACATGACACATCCACACATGACATCTACTCATCATACACACATATAACACCTCCCCACACATGACACATACCCACACTTGGCACATATCCACACATGGCACATACTCAATATACTCACACATGACACATATTCAGCATACATGACACATTCCCTCACATGGTACACTCACACATGACACATTACAACACATGACACGAACTCTATACCCACACGTTACACATACCCACACGTTACACATACCCACACGTTACACATACCAAACATGACACATACCCACACATGACACATACTACTCAATACACACACACTTGGCACACATACACATAACACATACTCAACATACCCACACATGACACATACTCAACATACACACATGTAACACCTCCCCACACATGACACATACCCACTCATGACACATACTCAACATACCCACACCTGACACATATTCAATATACCAACATATGACACATACCCACACTTGGCA